ACCTTTGTGTATTTAGCTATGGGGGACACTAACTTCTAGTTGGTGATCAATTAAGATCTTTTATTTGGGCTTTTTATTTTACAGTTTTTCAATTGATTGTGAATTATATTTGACCACACTTAAGATAATATAATCTCAATTTCTCTAGTACGACTCGTGATGTTTTGTGTCACTTTGAATTGCCACGATCGAATGGACGACTGGATGAAAAGGATCAAGGGAATTACGTTACGTCATTGAGTGGAAAAACAATAGGATCGGTTTGGAGGTTATATATTTGATGAGAAGGTACCAGGTAAGTTGGGCTTATTTTACTACCTTTTCACTATATGAAAATTTAAAATTAGAAATAATTGTGTACAAAAAAATTAAACTACTCCTTCGGTATACTTTCTTTTTAAAGTAATGAATTTGTGATTCTGTTTATTTTTCTATTCTCTACACAAATCTCAATCAAATAGTTTTTATTTTTTTTATTTTCTCATTCAATATAAACTTGATAAAGTCGCAAATTATACCGTGGGATCCGCCCACCGTACGCACGGTGTGCCGATTCCTAAACTGAGCCATTTAATTAAAAATAGTCGTCATCTTTGTTCCCAATTGTCAAGCAAGCCGTTCATCCCTCCCCTCGCAGATTCTATTTGGAACCATGGAAAGCGTGAAAAGCCCCTGTTAATCGTAATTCATACCAATCCAAATGATTTTTCCTCTGTTTGCTTCTTTGAATCCGGAATTGAGACCTCTCGGTACTGGAAGAGAAAGCTTCTTTATCTCCCCACAATAAATTGAAGAAGCCCTACGCATGTGTTCCAGCTTGTAAAAACATGTCTCTGCTTGTCTCTTCTTTTTCTTCAATCTTGTGCAAAGAATCAGCCCAGGGGAAAAGAAATTGCGCTTCAATTTAGATATGGCAAGTTACATTTTCAATCACGTGATTTACATTTCGTTTTGCCTTAAAGTTACATTTTCATACCCGCGAGTTATATTTGAACTTATCCCAGAAAGTTATATGGAAAATTAATTTAAAAAAAAAATCGTTTTCAATAGTCCTGATATTAGAAAACAAAGCATATACACTACTTGTGTAAAATAATAGGGCTATTATACTCTTTTTTTCATTATTTACCTTGAAATCAATGTTTTACTTCTTACATTCGGTTTTAGATAACTTACATTTCAACTTGACTCAAGTTACATTTATTATCAATGTGAGTTACATTACTTTAAACATGAGTTACATTTGTTTGCTGCTAAAATAAAATAAATTAAAAAGAAAGCCAGGGAGTAGGATGCTCACCATGAGTCGCTCCCACGGTATACCAACTCTGATAAAGTTGAGTGGGATTGAAATAATATATCATTCGGTATATCATGTACTTGTGTAACTAAGCATTCCAGTCCAGCTGGTTGTGAGGTTACCGTGCCTAGTGAGAGGTCTCGAGTTCGAAACCCGCTAGGCACACAAGGGTTTGAAAATTCAATGGAGTGAGTTTCAGCCCTGATTACTCCAGGCTCCCCCAGCCCCCTCCCCCGGACCCCCGGAGTAAAAAAGAACAAAAGGAAAAAAGAAAAAGGAAAAAAATCACGTACTTGTGTACACTTTTTTTTTGGTTTCCTGCCATATTAATTAGGATCATTTTCTTGCCTACCATATAAACTTGAAAACGAACTAGAATCAGTATCACTACTTGCCTTCTTCTCTGCAGGACTAGCAACCAAATACGCTCTTACCAAAACAACAAATTTCTTTTCTTTCACAACTTGTTCACCGATAGTGATTTATGCACTCATTAATTTGAGTCACTAATATAGACATACAAGGCACAACTATAAATACAAAAGGAGAGATAAAAGCACATAAGTAAAATAACATACAAATATTGGGTTATTCTCTAACACTATTTGTACACAAACTATACACTGCAAATAAGTAAAATTGGAAGAGAAATGCTGCCTTTTTGTTGTTGCCTGTTTACACAGACAACTAGAGGGTGTGTGTACAAAAAACTGTACAAATTATGTGTACAAATATAATATATTTTTCCAAAAGTATTATACTTTTTGACATCTCAATTTTCAATGACTCGTCTTTGTTACTCTAGTTTCTGGCTAACTCTAAAATGCTCTTGCAAGTCTAAGTAACAGGAATTTCTCATTTCTATTTTAGAAAATAATTAATACTCTTAAATGATAATGTAATCATCAAATATTAAAAATAATACATTTGTAACATCAACGTATCATCAATGGCTAATTATATTATATATTTATCAAATTAATAAATGTATCAAACTTATCTTCACGAAAAGGAGAGTATGAATCTACTAAGATGCAATTCGCATTCACCCAATCGATTTCTATGTTGAACTTAGGCATGGACTCGGTTCGGGCCGGGGCCGGTTCGGGCCTTGAACCGGCCGGGCCTCGGTTCACGGTTTGGGAGGCCCGGAACCGGCCCGGGTAACCCCGGGTCCGGTTCGGGCCGGGCCGCCTGCCCGGTTCACGGGCCGGGCCCGGTTCGGGCCGGTCCTTTTAATTTTTTTTTAATATTCTATACTATATAATTATAATAATTATTATTAAAAACAAAATTCAAGTGCATTTATTTGAAATAGGAAGTACATTTGAGAATTGAGGAAAAAATAACAATATGAAATACATTTTCGAATAAATATCAATTGGGATTTCCGCCACCGTTGGTTGTTGTTTTACCTTTGTCACATGACTTCATATGTTTCATTGGCATCCCGACTCCGTGTGAACGCCCCAAGCATCTACAGAATGTCTACCACGTTCCATCTTTAAAATTGAACAAATATTAAATGATATCAAATATTTTATATGAGTACAATAGTAATAATAAAATGTGACTAAGAAAACTATTGCAAATTCGAACTAAAATATGAGTATAAAAATCGAACTACTTCTAATTAATACTTTAATGAGAAATGTATCAATTAACTAAATATTAACTAGTTTGACTAATATAAATATGCGAAATGTAAAAATTAACTAGTTTTTTTTTTACTTTAATGAGCAATGTACAAATTAACTAATATTAATATGAGAAATGTAACAATTAGGTAGTTTAACTAATATTAATATGACAAATTTAACAATTAACTACTTTAGGTAGTTTTTAAAATGAGAAATGTAAAAATTTACTAGTTATTTTTACCTTAATGAGAAATGTATACTTTAACTAATATTAATATGACAAATGTAAAAATATACTACTTTTTTTACTTTAATGAGAAATGTAGCAAGTAACTAATATTAATATGAAAAATCTACCAATTAAGTAGTTTAACTAGTATTATTATGACAAATGTAAAACTTAACTAGTTTTTTTTTTACTTTAATGAGCAATGTATGAAATAACTAATTTTAATATGACAAATGAAACAATTAAGTACTTTAACTAATTGAAATATGACAAATGTAAAAATATACTACTTTAACTATTTTTTTCTTTAAAGAGAAATGTAGAGAAATGTAGAGAAATGTAACAATTAACTAATTTAATAGATAAATGAGAAGTCTGACAATTAACTACTATTATAAGTAATATATAATATAATGTTTATAGTATATAATATATAAGTATATTACTATAAGATGAGTAATACACTTATACTTAATACTTTAATATATATATATAAGTATATATTAACTAAATGTAATATGTAAATATAAGTAAATAACAATAGTATGTATAAAAACTAAATATCAAATAAATATGAATGTGTATAAGTATATATAGTATATATAATGTGTAAATATATTATAAGTAATATATAATATAATGTTTATAGTATATAATATATAAGTATATTACTATAAGATGAGTAATACACTTATACTTAATACTTTAATATATATATATATATATATATATATATATATATATATATATATATATATATATATAAGTATATATTAACTAAATGTAATATGTAAATATAAGTAAATAACAATAGTATGGATAATAACTAAATATCAAGTGAATATGAATGTGTATAGTATATATACTTATATAGTATATATAATGTGTAAAGAATTATAATATGAATGTGTATAAGTATATATTTATAAACAGATAATTAATATATAAGTAGATATAATAATTATATAAATTATATATATGTAGAAAGAATTTGGAGAAGATGAAGAATGAAGATGATTGAATATGAGAGATTTAGAGTAGAGAATTAGAGAGTAGGAAGAGTTGTAGAAGAAGAGGTGTAAAAAATGTAGAGAAAATAGGAGTTTGAATAGATTTTTTTTGATACCCCACCCCCACCCGACCCTCCACCCCACCCCCCTAACCCCCCAGACCCCCCCCCCCCCCTCCTATGCTCCCAAGAGCCGTTTGGGAGCCTTCCCAACGGCTAGGAGCCTCTTCAAATTAAAAAAAAAAAATTAAAAAAAATTGGCCGTTGGAGGCCCGAACCGGGCCCGGCCGGGCCGGTTCCCTAAAATGGAGGCCCGGGCCCAGACCGCTATACCACCGGGCCGGGTGGCCCGAACCAGTTAAGAACCGGGTGACCGGGCCGGTCCGGGCCCGCACAGTAGCGGGCCGGTCCGGTTCCGGGCCGGTTGGCCCGGCCCGAGTCCACCCCTAGTTGAACTTTGAACGTATACTTCTAAACTAGAAATCTTGCTTAAATGATTAGCTTTATAGAATAGGCATTTATGTCCTCGACATGTTGTGGATTCTTCTCAAGAGTAGAGAGTATAACACTTTAATATAGAAAACTTTTATACTATCTTTCAAGTCTTTCTTTACTATATGAATAAAAGGATTGGACAGTTGGAAAAGATTTAATGAAGATGGTGAATGATTGAGATGTTCATATAAAGAATGATCAAAGGGTAGGAGAGACGAGAAGATTTTGAAAACCAAATACTCCGTACAACATAATTGGAGGTATAAAAACATGATTACGAGTTTTATGACTTAAGAGCATATGATTAGCTCTGCTTCAAAATGCCGTATGCCAGCCACAAATTGTAGATTTTTCCCAAGTGTTGAAGTGTATAATATAAAGAGAAAACTTGAAAATTCATGAATCCACAGATATTCATATGAAGTACTTTCATATTCAAATGTATATACCTCAAACGGCTCAAAGGCTAAAAAAATACAAAGATTTTCACCCATCGATTGGCATGTATCCATAGACTAGCCAGCAAAGTAATCCACTGCTAAAGTTAATATTCCACCAAAACAAAGGGACACTTGTTTGCTTGCATACCATCTCTTGCAAACTCAACAGAAATAACTACAGTAAAACCTTAGTTAATTACTCTTCAGTAATAACAAGTTTTCCTTCAGCGAACTCACAAATTTGAATTGGGATACTAAGCTGCTTCCTCAGCTTTCTTACAACAAATACTTCAGGCTCCTCACATATAGTAACCACATTACCCTTCCTTCCAAGCCTCCCCGTCCGACCAGCTCTGTGTGCATAGTGGACAGAATCGGTAGGCAACTCCAGATTCACAACAAGATCACATTCAGGCACATCCAATCCTCTAGCAGAAAGCTCGCTCGTTACCAAAACCCTAACATCTCCATTCCTAAATTTCTTCAAAATCGTGGATCTTGCTAACTTGCTAAGATCACCATGCAGTTCTGAAGCATTTATGCCTCGGGCTTCTAGTTTATAAACGGCATCTTTCAGTTGTTTACTATGGTTCATAAATGCAATCACAGATTTGGCTTCCAGAGCGTGAATGCATCTTCTTAGCATGTCAACTTTGTGTTGTATCCTCGTGACACAATAGTAATGGTTTAGATTAGGCGGTAAGCTCTGGATGGCAGGCTGGGCCTGTGAGTTGGAAGGATTTAGTCCAGGAGGAGACATGGAATCAAGGGGGACAACCCTGTTGTCATGAACAAGGAGTGGGTCCCAACCCCAGCTTCGTGCGGCTCTTGTAACAGAAAACGGGACTGTTGCAGAGACCATGATGGTTTGGCGGGAAGCATGGTTCTTCACAAGTATATTGCCTGAACCATGGGGTGCTGCACTACATGAATTTAACTCGTGTTAAATGTATGATTGTAATTGAATTCAAGGGGAAGCTGGGTAAGTAGCTTCAACTTCTTCAACCACATGAACTCAACTCAAGTGGTATGTGGGAATGTGGGATTGGTGGAAGGATTGTATTTACATGGTAATAGTAACTAAGAGGTTCGTTTGCAACATTGATTCATTTTTTATTTGGGTAGTCATGCTATACTGCTAGGTGCCACACCTATTATGAGATACTCAAGTCCCCACGTGGTAGCAATAATTGGCTTATTATGCTTATCAGTAGAATAAGCAGAATAATAAAAATGAGCATAATCAAGCAGACTTTGTGTTACTCATTTGATTGAATTTTTCCTTTCAGAAAATTCTACATATTGAGCCAGCAACCTTACCAAACTGACCTAAGAATTGAATCACTCCCTTAGTACCTGTTTATCCCAAAAAATGAATAGAAGCTAATTTTACATCATTTGTCAAAAGATAATAAAGAGTCATAGAGAGAGTTGCTATGGCACATTTATTTAAATCAACAAATATATAAATATGGTTCATGGTTTACGAGAGTTGTACCTTTGTCATATGTGACACTTTCTTTCAGGACGTCTGGAGTATTACTTAAAAATGTTTTCTAATCTGTGATTGCCAGTTTCTGTGAGCCTAACCAGTCACACCTTTAGAACCTTTAGATCTGTGAGGAAATTTGAGATGATAAAGTTGTTATAGTATGTTGTACTCCTTCTGTCCCCAATTTGTTTGTCCCTTTTACCATTCAAATGGACAACCAAATTCTTTTTATTCTTTAAATTTGTGTATCAAATTTCCATCACATTCTAAGTTAGCTTTTGTAGTTCAAAGAATTTATACCCCGTAGTTTAATTTCTAAATATGTAGACTTCAACTATTAGTAATATTTAAATACTATTAGGGAATATTTACCTTTAACTTCAGTAAAGCCCTCATAACCCAGAAAGGGAGAAACCATTTAAAATAGAGGTAATAAACTATTTATAGGAGTAATAAAATAGTTAAAACCGCACCAGATCGTTTTGTCCCCACGTGATCCAGTATCCGCTGCATGTCCTCCCGGAAATTGAATGAGAGAAGCTCATCAACTTCATCTAAGACCAAGTAGCGGCACCCGTGAGTGTGAAGCTTCCCGGATGCACTCATTTCCGCAATCCGACCAGGAGTACCGATTACTATGGACGGTTTGTTTTTCTTGAGTGCTTCTTCCTGTCTGGACCGGTTCGCTCCACCAACAAGCTGTTGAACCATTTTTTTGTTGGGTCCCAAAAGCCTCTCCGCTTCCCTGACAATCTGCATACCAAGTTCCCTGGAGGGAGCTACAATAACAGCTTTGATATCTGTTCTGCTTGAAGAAGATACACCATTTATAGGGAAAACAATGTGGGAGAGTATTGGAAGAAGATATGCCAATGTTTTTCCTGAGCCAGTATATGACTGAATCACGACATCATGATTTTCCAGAATAGTTGGAATTGCAGAAGCTTGAACATCTGTTGGATCATTAAACCCTTCCTTCTCAAGTCTTTCAATCAGTAATTGGGGAAGGCCAAGCTCAGAGAAAGACTTTGCAGCGTACGGTGGTGCTGATGCTTCCCCTATGCCTGTGGACTTTGTCTCTTTCACTCCAATGCTTCTTCCACTGTTTACCTTTCTTTTGGTGTTACTCCTACAGTCTATTTGAGCCCAGGAAGAAACTGGGGGGGAGGTAGGAAGGATATTAGATGGAAATAAAATGTGAATATGTGATAGATAATAAAAGATACTCCCTCCAATTTAAAGTTACTCTTACAGTCTGCTTAAGCTTCTCATGTGCCTCTTTTAAACGCCCCAGCTAAATGTTCACAATTCTGTTTTAGGAAATAATTAGCACTCTTAGATGATAACTTAATCATCAAATATAAAATTCATAGACCTATAACATCACAATTATATTACACGTAGTATATCCATCGAAAGTACTTCTCAAAATATGCTTGAATAACTCAATAACCTTATTCAATTACTGTCTAAATAATTGTGCCATTTTTCGACGAGAAACTACGTTGGGACGGAGGTAGTATATTAAAACTCAGCTTTTGTTTTTATAGATGCATTTTATACCCAATCTTATTTGGGCATGTAAATTATAAATAGACTAAAAAAAACAAGTCCCCATTTGGTAGTATTAACTGGCTTATTCAGAATATCAACCAGATAATCAGATTTTCTAGACTTTGCCTTTCTTATTTGGCTAAATTCCACTTTGTTAGACGCAGATTTCCAGAAGATTCAACCATTTTAGCCAAATATCTATAACCAAACAGACTATAAATATGTGTAAACAAAATTATAAAAAACTAAATATAATTAGTTTTCTTCTCCACTTTCTAAGGTACAACCAAGTACGAAGTATAAGATAATAACTTTCCTTGAAATTTTTAACTTCTTTTCTTTCCCTAGCATTTTCCATGATCCAATCATACCTTTAGGAACTTCAATTGTGGAAACGCCCAACAGGAGCTTATTTTTGGCATTCTGTCCATTAACTCCATTCTTCAATCCAAGGCTCGCTAGGGTAAGAGGACCATAGTCACTTAAAAACCTTACTCTGTCATTGAGTGGAGATATTCTAGTAAGCCGGATGGAAAGATTTCTCAGTGAAAATGAATCCCCGAAGAGTTGAAAGGCCCTCGTTGCAGATAAAGAAGGCATGATTTTGGGCTTGGCTAAGAAACAGCTATTTCATCTAAAGTGCCAACCATACGTGATGGGACAACACAAAAAGGCCTAACCCTCTTTAACAATGGCAGACTGCAAATTAAGCCGTAGTATTAGATATATAGTTTAAACTTTAAAGAGATCATAAACATCATATTAACTCAGACAAATATAATGCTAGTTATTGCCCCAAAATCAGATGTACTGCCACAATATAATGCCAACAACCGAATGAATAAACAAATATTCCTGATGGTAACTAGGTTTACTAGTCAGTATAACAAGACGCAGAGATTGAATTACCAAAATTTGTATGCCTGTCACACAGGCATTTTATCAAACATCTCCAGCACAATAATGAGAACTCAAAAGATACACTGAATAAAGACCGATGGAGATGATGACTAATTGGTAAAATGATAGCTTCACCCTTACTAAGAAGGGTCAGCCGCGTTCCTTGGGTGCAATGGCAAGACATCCCCAATGGCGATCATAAACGAGGCCAGAGTAAACAAAAAGGAAAACTTTTAAAAGTAAAATTCTGAATAAGTAGGCTGCAAGAAATCTTTTATATCATTTCTCCCAAATAAAAAGGATTTTTTTAAACATCTGCATAATCAACTTATACAAAATCAAACTGCAAAATCAACTTAAACAATATCAAACAAGTAGGTCATGAGAGACTACTTATATAATACGGAAGATGAACCTCAGGAAGATTAATACTCCGTAGAACCTAAGTTTAAAACTGCAGTCACTGGAATATTTCTCGAAGTTCTCTTCTACACCAAAGAAGGCGGGCTTGGTTTTCTATAGCAAGTTACGGAGTATTTTTTATTGAAGTACTACTTTCTTGCACGATGCGAAATTAGTAAATGCGCTACTAATTTCGCCTTAAACTTTGTATACAATCTTCTTATAATTGTCATTTGACTTCTTATCGTTTGATGTGTGTGTATGATGAGTGAGTGTTTGCAACTGCTTCTGCTTAAATAAAAGCACTTTTGGAGATGTAAGGAAAAAGTGATTAGTAGAAAAAGTGATTTGCATACAACAACAATTATTAATTAGTCTTGCGATTAAACATGCTCTTTTTATTATTAATAGCACGTTGAAGCTCTCTTAGTTTATCCGCGTATAATTGACGTATAATACACTCAAACGTATAATTCGCGTACAATACTCCCGTTTATGAATTTTTCAAAAAATATTGAAAAGTTCACGTACTTTAAGGATAAAATGTATAATACGCGTACCGTACGTATTGATACGTATTTTATTTAAAAAATACCATTAAACTGAAGCCTTATGGAGTGGTACAAGTGAAGCGGTATGTCTAGCTGCTCGATACTATTTATATTGCTTAAAATATTATTATGTCTTATATGTTCATTAATTTTTTAATAGTCATCAGATTTAATGAATTAGCTTCTTAAAATCATAATTTGTTTCGGTATTATTATTGTGCTACTATTGTGATACTCTTGTTCTCCACTAATATGAAGACTTCAAAGAGAAAATAATATTACGGCGACTCACCAAATTTACGGCCACAATAATATAATCTATTCTCTAGAAATATCTCTCTACTTCTACACAAATAGGTGATATCATTTTTATTACTTATTGTACCTTTGAATTTAAATTCATATATAAAAAACTATTTTGTACATTTTAAGTTGTTGAAGAATGTGGTGCATATGCTAAATTACTCTTTATTCTCATCATTAAATTAGTATATAAGGCATGTATTATATGCCGTAATTTTAAATTGTGAAACGTTTAAAACATGTTCGTATCTTTATTCATTTCACGAACGTATGAAATATATATTTAACCGTATTTTATATAGTTGTATCGTATTGTACACGAACGTACGTATTATTATATTTTTCACGAACTGTATAATACTAACAAAGCGTTGAAGGCATTAACAAATTAAGAATGTCAAAGAAACTTATTTTTGGGAGGCGCTGGGGTAAAGACATGCATTAACATTTTTTATTTCTTACAGTCAACCTCAGTAGATCTGAAACCATATCTTTATATGATCAAAGTAATGATTAATATGATTTCTTGATTGTTAATGTGTGTTATTATATAATTGTGATGTTTGATGATTTGGCCGGCCTTACAAAACGTTGATTATTTGGTCAAATAATACTTGCTAACCCTAATCAACGTTTTTCTCTAGCAGTTTCGCCATCGCGTAGGGTTTTGTCTCCCTAGCGATTTTACCGTCGTGTAAGGTTTCTTTCCGCCAATTGTTTGCGCGGCTCTTCTTCTCTAGACTTCTAGAGTGCTTTTTAAGGAGGTGTACTACAATGTTTCCTCTCTCTAGGGTTCGCCGTCAGGTGCTACTGCTAAAGCCGTTCGTCCGCATCGGTTTGCGCCGAGGAGCGGGGCCGATTTCAGCCATTCTTTTTGTGTTAGTCTAGATCTAACGTACATCAAGGGGATGCAACAAGCAAGAGGCGGGGGTATTCGCAATCTAGCCACGAATCAGTTGTTGACAGATTTGGTTTCGGGCCTCGGCACAGGTGATGAACAGAGGGGGAACGACGAAGGGCTGAGCAAGGGAGAATATAGATCGGTGATTCGTCCCCCTCCTGAACCGCCGCCTTGGATTGATCGAGATGTCAGGGTTTGGAAGTTGATATTTCATCCAAAGAGTCAAAAAGAAGTTTGGTGTATTTGTCAGTTATTCTAATTTTTATGATCTTATTTTCGTGTTATATTTGTTTAAGGTGTTTCGTTTTCTTTTGAGGAGTTTTAGGTCTACAATAATGATTATCAATTCTGCTAGATATTATGTCATTAGAAGGATCTATTTGGCCAGTGATTGATGTGTCACACCCGCTTGGTGGTTAGCGATGCGCATTGCTCTTTCAGGGGTGATCGTCTCAGAGTCTAGCCATAGGGTTGATTGTGATAGTTGATTAGGGATATCTCTTGTCAGGATTGGTCTTTTTGAGTTTGTTGTAACGATCCGTTTCCTAATGATTTTATTTTAATATAAATATTGGATTTGATGGTTAAAAAAAATAATTGTGATGTTTAGGCGTGTCTCATTATTAAATCATCATTAGAGCTATGAAACTACTACTTATTTAGGATGTTTTCTTTTGGACTGGAATTTATTGGTGTGGTCTGGTCTGGTCTGGTCTGGCTTGGTCTGGTAAACGCCTGGTCTCTGCGTATTTTATAACTACGGAAGTCTAGTCTGGTCTGGTCTGGTCTGGTCTGGTCTGGAACTGAAAATAGTCCACAAGAAAACATCCTTAACCTGAATGGTAAAGAACTTTTCTTTGCATAGTGTTTTACTTAACGAAGTTCGTATGAGATACATAGTGAGTCTTTGCAAAAATGTAAAATAAAAAAGGGAAAAAATTGACACCAATAATCCCTACTTTTACACATTTTACAAAAATAATTCCTACTTCAAAAGTTCCCAACAATAATCTCAACTACTTAACTGTTTTACAAAAATAAACCGAGTGCTAATGCTTTTAAGTTTTCCGTTATTTTGTTTATTTTAAATTTAAATATATTGAAGCGAAAATATATATAAACATTGATAATATTATATTTGTGATCTTGTTTCTATTAAAAATTTAATTTAATATTCAATATTTTTCATAAAACATCATAGAAATATTTGAACACTACATAGTACATACTCTTCAAATTCTTTATTCTCTTTCGTTCTTTATCATATTTTTTATTTATATTCATTTTTGTTACTCATTATAACAGAGATTTCAAAGTCGTTTTAGTAATACTATATTAAATATTAATACAAATTATGAAGAATATTAAATACATATATTCTATTATGTTTTATGAAAAATATCAAATATTAAATTAAATTTATGGTAGGAAAAGATTAAACTCAAATATAATATTATTATTTTATATAAATAGTTTAGCATTGATATATTAAATATTAAAAACAAAATGGAAAAGTTAATACTGTTTGGACCCCGGATTATTTCTATGAAACGGTTAACTAGTAGGGATTATTTTTGTGAAATTTATGAGTAGGGATTATTTTTGAAAAATATGTAAAAGTAGGGATTATTAATGTCAATTTTGCCAATAATTTTTTTTTTACCTTTTAACTTAAAACGGCTGAATTAATTGTTGAAGTGATAGTTTATAAAGTCATTCTTAAAAGCTAAAAATTGAGAACATGTGGAGAGTGTTTTAACTACTTTTCACTTTTTCTACTCCCTTCATCCTAAATTATTTGTAATTTCAACATTTTTATCAACCAATGTTGAAGTTAAATCCTTCTTATTAATAATTAAATCAATTTTGAATGATTAAAATTTACATATTCAAAAACTATATTGAAATATTTTTTAAAATGCAAAAACCAAAATAAAATATAATTAAAATATGATGACCTAATTAAGTGAATAAAATGAATGGTTTGACTAATTTTGGACGGAAGAAATATTACATTTAAAACATTTTTTATCAAACAGTATGAATTTTACTCTTTCAAAAACGTTTCTTCTCGAACAATACTAACTTTTACAACTACGAATTTTCTCTAAAATCACTTTTTTAGGATGCTAACGAACACAAGATTGTCATGCTTCTATCTTTGGACTCTTCAGATTTTGAGCTGAAATGGTCTAGTAATTTTGCTCTTGATAGCAGTCATTATTATCATTACCCAGTGTCGCAAAAGGAAAGAAAATTGCAGTCTTGCTCTTGTACTACTGAAGCATAGAGAGACTGTTTGCGAGTGACTCATAGTGAAAATCGCTTCAAAAATTGCATGAACCGACTATTGCTTCATAACAAAGAAGCGCATACAGTTTAGTGAGTCATTTTGCTTTATTTCATTATAATCCAAAACAAAAAATAGTTAGTTAATTGCTCTTGATAGCAGTGTTGAGAAAAAAATGAAATAAAAGAGTTTGGTGTTGTTGACAATTTTAAGAATCAGTCATATTATCAGCTTTAATTTAAAATATCAGTGGGGTGGAACCAATGTGAATGTGGACTTTACTATTCAAGCTATTGTAATTGAAGTTCATGTTGTTCTTATTAGCCCCAAAGAATACTACATGTCAGATGCCACAAATTCAAGGAGTGAAGTAATTACAAACCAACGGCTTGGGTTATGTCTTGTGGTAAGAGTTGTTAACAAATGAAAGAATCAAGCAGTTGGTGATTGGTAAAGCTCAGTTTCAAAGCCACCCAAGTGGTACTGATGCTCTGAAGATAGAGGATCCATTGAGGCGTTTGCTAGAAGAAGACATGAGGAAGATTCAAGTATGGAAGCTCCTTGGAAGGAAGAGGCGCAATGATGAATAGGAAGCTGAAGATCAGGATTGTTTCCTATCACCCACCTTGAGAACAAGGCGGTTATCAAAGGGGGGAGTATTGATAGGGACCTGAACATATATATGCTATTATAAGATTGGAGGGACCCTGACACAGAATATGATTATAGATAATAATATAAGGAAGTAAAGAATAAGGAGTACGTAAGTATTCAATTGCGATTAGATTGAGAGATTGAGACTTCTCTAATTGTCTCGTTACTTTTTTGTATTTTCAATTGTAAATTCACCATTAATGTGTTCTTGAAGTTCTAAAGAATTCTTGAATAGTTACACTTTTGTTACTAATTCTTTAGTTATCTGCCAATGTTCTCTCATTACTAATTCTGAATAGTTACACTTTAAAAGACTTAATTTCTCATAATATTTTTACTTGAACTTATTTCAGATTAGACTAGACTTAAACATACTAAACTGTGAATGACAATGCAGAAGATTAACACCTTACTACCCCAGTCCCACATGCAAGGACGGATCCAGGATTTCGAAATAAGGAGGACGAAATTTTTTCATCAGTGTAGTGGTGAAATTTCTTTCGCTGGTGTGGGGATGGGGGGGATATCCACTAGTGTAGCGGATCGAATTTTTTTGATTGGTGTAGGGCTCTGCGGCTATTTTTTATTAAAAAAAAATCCATTAATAGATGCATGACGATAGGGTTGGGCATATCGGTTTGCGGTTCGATTTTTATCGGTTTCGATTCGGTTTGGAACGGGTTGGAAGAATTATTACCAAACAAAAACCATACTATTTTTCGGTTTTGTTTGGTTCGGTTTTATTCGGTTTGGATTTGTTATTTTTTTAATAAAATATGAAGGATTTTTTTAATTTCTTTAGTTCGGTTCGATTTTGTTCAGTTTTTATCGGTTTTGGTTCGGTTCGGTTTAATACGATTTGAAAGATATACTACCAAAATCAAACTAAATTACATACGGTCCGGTTTCGGTCGGTTTAGTTCAGTTTGGTACGGTTCGGTTAAACCAAACCATTATGCACACCCCTACATGACAACATTCAAATCTATTACATTCGATGTTTATACAATGAAAAATAACTTTGATTTTATAATTAAAGTGCTCTAGAAAAAAGTATTGGTACATTAAAACATAAAAAATGACAAATCCAAGCAAAATTATTTGAAAATTAAAAAAGGTATATAATATTTTATTAAATTATTTGAATATAAAAAGTAAAAGGTATACACCCATCAATACTTTTTAAACGACTTCTGATTTGTTTAATCACATGAATCTTATCGAAATAAATGATTAATTTTTGAATTACAATTTTCGTCTACCAAGAAGAATGTTAAACAACTTCTGATTTGTTTAATCACATGAATCTTATCGAAATATTTTCGTCTACCAAGAAGAATGTTTGTGATTCACGATAAATTTTCTTAATATTACGATAGTATGCATGAGATCATTATTTTTGGAATCATATTATATTGCAGACATATATATATATATATATATATATATATATATATATATATATATATATATATATATATATATATATATATATGGTGCACATCATATATGTACTATTGCTAAAATAAAATAAGTTGATGTTTATGCAATAAATTGTTTTTAAAAAGTAAGAAGTAAATCGAATTGTAATTTAATTTTAAGTGTCATCAACAAACATTTATAGTTTAAATTCAATTCACATAATTTAAAAGGTGTTTAACTAGTGTGTGGCAATCAAACGTTACAAAACTATGTATTTTTATATAATAAATATCCTAAATCTTGAACAATGAATTACTTTGTTGGTATAAATTCTATATAAAATTTTAGATTCTATATAAAATTTTAAAAACTAAAAGTTAAAGAGGGCGAATATAATAGAAAATTTTAAAAATCTAAAGGGAAGGCCGCCCCTTGCGACCCCTTAAATCCATCTCGCTGATATGGTCGCATGTATTCCACTAGTATCCGTTAAAATCTTTTTCTATCTTGTTTACATATTATTCTATATTCCAAGATATAGATAGCATTGATAACTAAAAACTACCCCAGAGGCCCCGAGTATAATACCTCCTCGATTCCAAAAAAAACACTTCTCACATACTTGGCAAAATGGCAAGCATATTAAGATAATGAGAAAAAAAATGAAAACATATGATTGTAGAAAAAAAGGTAAAATGAATGTGAAACACACAAATTTTTCAAAAAGTGGTAAGTGATTTTTTAGACGAGGAAGTAAAATGTGTGGTAAATATTACAACCACCACTGAAATAGATTTCTTATTGAAATAATCATCAACATTAAATGACATATTAGTTGCTTACATAATTTCATTATCGAACACTAATATACGAGATAAGGAATCCAGATATTAGACATGCTCTCCCCATCTCAATATAAGTCTAGTTATTGGATACCGGGCATCTATGGGTTAAAACTATGAATAACAAAAAACAAGCGCCAGAGAAAAAAAAATCTATCATAACTTCTTCAAAGATATATAAATATCTGATGATCATTGGATTCATTGCTTCAATCATCAAAATCAGATACGTTCTTCAGGATTATATTTCATAGACTCATAGTCCGTATATGGATTATCAGATGCAGTAATCCAGCCTTTGACAACACAGAAAAACGATTGCAGTGTCTGTAACTATATGCATCATTCAAGTAGAGCATTGAGCAAGACAACCATCATCACATCACTCACCAGCAGCAGCCATCATGAACAAAACAAAAAGTGTGGATGACACGGGGGGTTGGAAATATGTTAGGTAATGTCTGCAACCACGCCTCTCTCTCGAAGTGTTTCATCCCTTGGGGTGTAAAAGGCAGAAAGAGTTAGTCACTGCCTAAGATCCGAGAAATTTTTTCTTTATAGAACTAAAACTGCTGCTGCCATTGTCAGAGAAGCGAAGTGACGCACTTCTCTTTATAAGATCCGCCAGCAGAGGTGAACTAGAAACCAACTGCCCCATAGCATTTTCCTCATACTCTGCTCTCACAAAAGCAATAACAACTATTTCAGTAGCTTGATGTGATGGACTTCACAAGCACAGTATAATACAATATGGTTTTAAAGGAAATTTATCAGGATTATCAATTCAAAAGAAAGACAAATATTATCGACCCAGAACTTTAAAGATTAGATTCGATGAAACAAAGAAAAAGGTTAGCACTATAAGTAAAAGTCTCTAACTGGAATCTGACTTGGCTGCCATATGAAATTAAAACATTGGACAGATTGAAATAACAGGTTAGAAAGATTTAGTTTCAAACAATAATGGGAGAAGAAACATACTAGTATACGCTAACGCCCCTGAATTATATGTCGCAGAATAAGTACGCCTTTCAACTTTTTTTGGAATGATTGAGCAAAAAAATGGTTGAGGAGGATATATCTTCTCTGATATAAAGATCAAAGGTGTACTTGTTCCAACGTTATAACTTTTGTGTTTCATTGTTCCAAAACAAAGATGAGCGGTATATATGTTCTCGGGCATATAGTTTGGGGTATACTAGTTCCTTCTCCCAATAATAAATTATAAAACAAAAAAGTACAAATCAAAATGAAATTATTTCAAAACTTGGTTTCTACTGAAAGTGATAGGGACTTACCTATTAGCTTAATAATAGAAATAATAATAATAATAATATAATAATAATAATAATAATAATAATAATAATAATAATAATAATAATAATAATAATAATAATAATAATAATAATAATAATAATAATAATAATAATAATAATAATAATAATAATAATAATAATAATAATAATAATAATAATAATAATAATAATAATAATAATAATAATAATAATAATAATAATAATAATAATAATAATAATAATAATAATAATAATAATAATAATAATAATAATAATAATAATAATAATAATAATAATAATAATAATAATAATAATAATAATAATAATAATAATAATAATAATAATAATAATAATAATAATAATAATAATAATAATAATAATAATAATAATAATAATAATAATAATAATAATAATAATAATAATAATAATAATAATAATAATAATAATAATAATAATAATAATAATAATAATAATAATAATAATAATAATAATAATAATAATAATAATAATAATAATAATAATAATAATAATAATAATAATAATAATAATAATAATAATAATAATAATAATAATAATAATAATAATAATAATAATAATAATAATAATAATAATAATAATAATAATAATAATAATAATAATAATAATAATAATAATAATAATAATAATAATAATAATAATAATAATAATAATAATAATAATAATAATAATAATAATAATAATAATAATAATAATAATAATAATAATAATAATAATAATAATAATAATAATAATAATAATAATAATAATAATAATAATAATAATAATAGTTGTTGTAATAAGGGTATAGTTGTAATAAGGGTTTAGGCAGTATTTTAGTATAAATAAATGAAAAAGGGAGTTAGCAAGGAGGCTTTTGGGACTTTGGAGTTTGGTCTGGGACTGGGAAAGATTAGAGAATTACTCTCTCTTCTCTTTTGGGAGGCTACGGCCTAGGTTACTGTACTGTTCTTCTTGATTCAATAGAATGTTCATCTGTTTCTTATTAATCTTTCTGTAATTGCTCTGGAAAATTGGAGGTCTCTATCATTGGGTATCAGAGAACGTTATTTCCTGGAGACGAGAATCTGAATCATGGAGGATTTCTACATGACACCGCAAATGGAGGGACGAATGACAGAGATAGAGAGGAACATCGATAGAAATCAGAAGGAATTAAATGCGAAATTCAAGGAATCGAATGCGAAGTACGAGAAATTGTTAGCGATAATGCAAGCTGGCTTCGCGGAGATTAAGGGGGTGTTTGGAACTAATTCTGCTTCTGCTACTTTCTTAAAGGCGAAGCAGAATCAAAATCAGTTTTCAGAAGCAGGTACCCCCCAGCTTCTAAAAAAACTGATTCTGGGAATAAATTAGAGCACCAGAAGTGCTTCTGGAATTTCACCCAAACACTCCCGCTTCTGCTTCTACTCCCTGAAGGAGCAGAATCAGTTTTGAGAATCAGATCCAAACACCCCCTAAGAACGAGAAGACAGATCCATCGAGAAATAGATCGCACACCTCAGCTGCATCGCATCGCACTTCTCATCATCATCAGTCGCGACACTCAACGAATTCTGAGGAATCGGAAGATCAGAGGTTTAGCAGAGGGCCGGGAGACCTATCGAGGAAGACTAGGTATCTTCCGCTACCTGACAAATGAGGTTCGTCGGCATCGCTCACCAGTTCGCGGAATGAATCGCGATCTATTTCTTTTAGTTCGCAATCGCGAGCTTTTTCTCTCCCTTCGCAGACTGACTCAGCGGCTATTACTTCATGTCCAAGAAAGAACCGATTGAGAGAAGAATTTCCATCTTCATCGCAAATCGATTCTCACTGTTCGCCTTCTTAGTCTCAAGCCACTCCTCTAAGTTCGCAAACTTCTAAGCTATCTCCTTGCAGTTCAGCATCGCAAGTCATGTCTGCTAGTCCGCGGACGATAGCCGAGTTCCTTAGTCCGCAGGATTTACCGCAAGTCTATTCTCACCCTGCGCAAGCTATAGACCTCGTGGAATCAGGAAGTGGATCGCCATTGACAACACTGATGAAGGATGAGTCGAAGTTATATACAACTTTAAATCCTGGATGGTATCTAGAATATGATATTACTCAAACCATGGAATCTACACAAGATAATCCTGAAGATTCAGAAACTTATGATGGTCAGAGGTATGATTTTGTACTGATAAGAAACCCAGAATATTTTAAATCTTTGTTGGGTAGAGTTCAAGAACGTGAGGGTGAAGGTGTTGAGTCATTCCGGGGTGCCTTAGCAAAACAGTTGTGGAAGAATGATCCACATATTAATGCAATTGAAGGTTCAATCTGCACTCACACCATTGTTAAACCTAGGAAGGCATTTAAGGACAATTTGATACTTTATGCAAATTGGGACTCCTCGAAGTATAGACTGAAAGGGGCTGATGAGTTTACTTTTGAATATCAGTTGGATAAAATCAGTGTGGTCATGGATCTTAATGGATTGGAAGCTGAAGCAAATTTTCAATCTTACAAGATGATCTTAGGCTTCAATGATCCAGAACTGAACTGTTTGACTTGTGCTCTTGTAAGGGAAACCAAGCTAAATGAAGGTGTTGGAATTATAGAAGTGGAACCCTACTTGATGGGAAGAATAGTTATAGCTATACATCGGTATCAATGTGCTGGTTATCAGTGTGCAGCTCTTTCCTTGCTTGTCTATACCCCAGTATACATCCGGCAGTACATGGCATCAGGATCCAGATTGATTCTGGGGATTGTAAGCTGCCAGACATCTTTGGAAAGGTTTGTTATCAGAATTAAGCATATAGTAGTAATGAGAATGGAAGAATTTTTGTGTGTTTAATATAAGAGGGTTAAGACCCTATATATAGGTTACAAAGAAGGAATATTCCTACATAAGATGCTATACTATAATAATGTCTAGAGTATATTCCTAAAGCATATTCTTATATAGAATATTCCTACATAAGATGCTATACTATAATAATGTCTAGAGTATATTCCTAAAGCATATTCTTATATACAATAATTCTTTCACACTCCCCCTCAAGTTGGAGCATAGATATTTATCATGCCCAACTTGTTACATAAGTAATCAACACGAATCCCATTTAGAGCTTTGGTGAATAAATCTCCAAGTTGTTCTCCAGTCTTCACATATTCGGTAGAGATCAATCCTTTTTGTATCTTCTCTCGAATAAAATGACAATCAACTTCAATATGCTTTGTTCTCTCGTGAAATACGGGATTGTTTGCTATGTGTATAGCAGCTTGGTTATCACACCACAATTTAGCGGGCATTGATGTCTTCAATCCGAGTTCAGTCAATAAATGGCTTATCCATATGATCTCACATGCAGATTGTGCCATAGCTCGATATTCTGATTCAGCACTCGAACGAGAAACCACATTCTGTTTCTTACTCTTCCAAGATACAAGATTACCACCAACAAAGACGCAATAACCAGATGTAGATCTTCGATCATCTTTAGAACCGGCCCAATCAGCATCTGCAAAACACTCTATTCTCATGTGATCATGGTTTTGATAAACAATACCTCGTCCTGGTGCACCCTTTAAGTAACATAATATGTGTTCTACAGCAGCCCAATGATCAATGGTTGGGGATGACATGTATTGACTCACTACACTCACAGAATACGCAATATCTGGGCGAGTGACTGCGAGATAATTAAGCTTTCCAACCAGTCTTCTATATCTTTCTGGGTCTTCAAACGGTGTGCCTTCTTGAGTGAGTTGAACGTTGGGAACCATGGGTGTTGTACTTGGTTTTGCCCCTAATTTCCCGGTCTCAGCTAGTAAGTCAAGTACATATTTTCGTTGAGATAGAAATATGCCTTTCTTACTTCGTGTTACCTCAATTCCCAAAAAATATTTCAATGAGCCAAGATCTTTCGTCTGGAATTGGCTGTGCAGAAAATTCTTTAGGGCCAAGATACCTGCATTATCACTCCCTGTAATCACAATATCATCAACATACACCACAAGCAATGTGATACCTGCTTGCGTTTGTCTGTAAAAGACAGAGTGATCTGATTGTCCTTTTTTCATTCCAAACTGTTCAATTGTTTGACTGAATTTCCCAAACCATGCACGCGGACTTTGTTTCAAACCATAAAGAGACTTGCGAAGTCGACAAACTTTCCCATACTCCCCCTGAGCAACAAACCCTGGAGGTTGCTCGATATAAACTTCCTCCTGAAGGTCACCATGCAAGAATGCATTTTTAATGTCTAACTGATGCAAGTGCCAACCATGAGTTGCTGCGAGTGAAATAAGTAACCTGACAGATGTTAATTTAGCAACAGGAGAAAAAGTGTCAGAATAATCTACACCGTAGGTTTGAGCATAACCCTTCGCAACTAATCGAGCTTTCAACCGAGCAATAGATCCATCTGGATTGACCTTCACAGCAAAGACCCACTTACATCCAATAGATTTCTTCCCTGTAGGCAAGTATACCAAATCCCATGTACCATTAAGATCCAAAGCATTCATTTCTTCTATCATGGCAAGACGCCATTCCGGATGAGCCAAAGCTTCTTTAACAGATTTGGGAATAGAAATAGAATCAATGGAGGCAATAAAAGAGCATGAGGTAGATGATAACTGACTGTACGACACAAAAGAAGAAATAGGATGAGTACAAGATCGTGTACCTTTGCGCAGTGCTATCGGGAGGTCAAGATCTAATGTACAGACAGGATCTGGAGATGCAGTTATTGGTTCAGGACATGAGGTCGAGATCGGATCAATATCAGGATAAGGAATCACAGGCGGGGGAAGATCTGGTGCTTTGTGTCGACGTGTGTATACCAATTGTACTGGAGGCCTGGGGTCGGAAACAGTAGGATGTGGAGTAATTTCCGAAGCAGTGGACTCAGGTATGGTGACTGTGTAAATGAGTATATCATCATTCTCCCTACAAATATCTGCCTCTGGAGATGAATAAGGTGTATTCTCATAAAATGAGACATCAATCGAAACAATATATCGACCTGTACTTGGACAAAAACATCTGTACCCCTTTTGAACTCGAGAATAACCTAAGAAAATGCACTTTAATGACTTGGGATCTAACTTTGTTAAATGAGGATTAACATTGCGAACAAAACAAGTGCAACCAAATATTTTAGGTGGTATAGGAAAAAGTTCATTATTTGGAAATAGGCACTGATACGGAGTTTTACCGTCCAAAACAGTAGATGGCATTCGATTGATCAAAAAACATGCGGTAGACACAGCATCCGCCCAAAAATGTTTAGGCACATTCATTTGGAAAAGAAGCGCACGCGCAGTTTCTAAAAGATGTCTGTTCTTTCGTTCAGCCACACCATTTTGAGGAGGCGTGTCTACACATGAAGTTTGATGAATTATGCCATGTTGAGCCATATACAACTTAAACGAGGCAGACAAATACTCTTGAGCATTGTCTCCTCTTAAAACACGAACAGGAACATTAAATTGAGTTTTTATTTCAGCACAAAAGGCACAAAAATGAGAAAACAACTCAGAACGCCGTTTCATAAAGTAAATCCAAGTCATACGAGAGTAATCATCAACAAAGGTAACAAAATATTTAAAGCCAATTTTAGACACAACGGGGCAAGCTCCCCAAACATCAGAATGAACAAGTTCAAAAGGAGCATGTGCTCGTTTATTGACTCGAGGGCTTAAACTAGTACGATGATGTTTTGCAAATTGACACGAATCACACTGTAAAGACGACACCTTATTAAATTGAGGATGAATTTTCTTCAACAAAGGGAGAGATGGATGTCCTAGTCGATAGTGAGCCTCTAACACAGATCCAACCCCAAGACAGGAGATGGTTTTAGGTAAGGATGTGTCCAAAAGATAGAGACCAGCCGACTCATATCCTTTACCAATAATCTGATTCGTCAACAGATCCTGAAATACACAATATCCAGGAAAAAAGGTTACAGAACAGTTTAGTTTACGCGTGATTTTACTGATCGAAATCAAATTAAAAGCAAAGTTTGGAAGACTCAGGACAGGTGACAAAGGTAAGGTGGATGTTGGGACAATTGTTCCCGATCCTAAGACTGGGGAGGTAGACCCATCAGCTAAAGTGACAGTAGAAGTATGAAGAGGTGTGTGGAATGAAGAAAAAAGATTAGGATTACCTGTCATATGATCGGTTGCTCCTGAGTCGATGACCCATTTTGAGGATGAAGAAACAAGACATGTGTTTGGATTACCTGAATTAGCGACAGCTGAGATAGGAGTAGATGAATGCTTTAGAGTCTCTTGGTAGCAAAGAAATTTGGCGTATTCCTCAGAAGACATACTGATTGATCCATCAGAAGACTTTGTAGCGGAAGCAATGTGAGCAACTTGATTTCCTTGATTTTTGAATTTTAATTTTCTACAATCTTTGATCAAGTGTCCAGGCTTCTTACAGTAGTTGCATACTATGCCTTTGCCAGATGGACCAGTACGTGGCCATTTCTCACCTCCTTGGGTAAACGTTGGAACTTGCCCTACAAATGCACTGTTTGACTGAGGTGCTACTGGCGTGGATGAAGTATCGGTGCGAAGCACTCTAGTGAAAGATTCTTGAAGAGAAGAGACCTCATCACTAGATAAGATATGTGATTTGGCTGTTTCAAATTCAGATGTTAGACCAGCCAAAAAACTCATCACTGCCATTTGTTCTCTTTGTTTTTGCTGCACTTTGATATCAGGACTAAATGGCATTAATGTATTCAGCTCTTCATAGGTTTTCTTGAAATCCATAAAATAAGCCGTGAGAGGCTTATCTTTCATTTCCGCTCTGTAAAAGGCTTTGCACACCTCATAGATGTGGTTAAGATTACCTTTTCCAGAGTACATAAATTCCAAATAATCAAACAATTCTTTCACAGTATCGCAATGACTAACATACCCCATTACCTCATTCTCCATTGAGTTTTGAATTTGGATAAATAATCTAGAATCGTCACGAAGCCAGGCAGTATTAGCAACTCTATCAACCTCCTCCTTTGGCGGGTCATCAACTAAGTGAGTATATTTATCAATGCTCCTTAAATAGCGTTTGATAGTTTTACTCCATTCAAGATAATTAGAGCCACAAAGTTTATTCTCAGTAATTTTAAAATTAATGGGAATAACTTCAGAAACTATCAAAGGCTGACTTTGTGTTACAGTGGAGGTGTCAGAACCAGGCATTTTTTTTTTCTTTTTTTTTTTTTTTTTTTTTTTTTGAAACTGTAATAAAATTCAAAATTGAGATATTTAATTTAATGAAAACTTACAGCAGCCCGTTTTGGGCTGGAATAAAAATCCAGAGGCACGTCTGACTTGGGTGCTGATTTGGAACTGCAGACTGTGAGCACCTGGCACAGATGGGGAATATGGTCTGCACAAAGGTTCTGAATAGAGGGGGGCTAAAAAAAAATCTGTCCTGGAGTGAGTTTCTGGGAGACAGAATGGTGCCTAGAGGTTCTGGAGAGTCTGAGCTGAAATCAGGTTTCTTTGAGAAAGAACCCAGTCTGAAAAACTAAGCTGAAATTTAAAAGAAAAAGGAACTAAATCTTTCCTAATGCTCTGATACCATGTTATCAGAATTAAGCATATAGTAGTAATGAGAATGGAAGAATTTTTGTGTGTTTAATATAAGAGGGTTAAGACCCTATATATAGGTTACAAAGAAGGAATATTCCTACATAAGATGCTATACTATAATAATGTCTAGAGTATATTCCTAAAGCATATTCTTATATAGAATATTCCTACATAAGATGCTATACTATAATAATGTCTAGAGTATATTCCTAAAGCATATTCTTATATACAATAATTCTTTCACAAGGTTCATGGTCCCGCAATCAGTTCGGTATTGGGAAGGAAGAGGTGCAAGAAAAAAGATTAGAGAATTGTTTTCTCTTCTCTTTTGGGAGGCTTCGGCCTTGGTTACTGTACTGTTCATCTTCTCAATAAAGAAATTTCAGTTGCGTTATTGATATTGTTTTCTGAAATTGTTCTGGATTTCTTGGAGGACTCTATGATTCTCCCAAAAGAGAAGAGAGAGTAGTTCTCTAATATTTCCCAGTCTCAGACCAAAGTCCCAAAAGCCTCCTTACTAACTCCCTTTTTCATTTATTTATACTAAAATACTGCCTAAACCCTTATTACAACCATACCCTTATTACAACTATTATTATTATTATTATTATTCTTTCTATTATTAAGCTAATAGGTAGGTCCGTATCAGAAAGAAAGGGTCTTGTTTGAACAAAAAAAAAATAATTAAATTATGTTTAATGTAAAAATGTCCTAAACTAGTAAAATATGTTAAATCTAGCTATACCAACAAATAGCATTAAATATAGTTACACTTAATGAAATTAAAAAGGTTGTACCATGACCTTTTCTCTATGTTGGTAAAAATTATATTTTTATTATTATGTGGCACCCAGATCAGTTTTAACATTTCATGTTCTCAAATGATAAATTGTAATCTTTCAAGTACGGATTGGTAACTTGTTTCTTGTAATTCCCGAATTGATAATTGACCTACCCTTCACAACCTAGAGTGACAAAAGTCACAAAACTTCAGTGTTTAACTCAAATGTGTATAAATCACCAACTTCGACAATATAGCAACCATAGCAACCGAAATTGTACAAAACTGGAAGAGCTGGACAAAAAACACCATATCCAGATTAGAAAGAGAGCGACATGGAGGGAGGGGGGAAGATTCAATAGTACCTGAAGACGCAGGAAGGTTATAATGCCTCTTCAAGAACTTTGAGGCGTCTGCATCCTTCATGTGACATAATACGCGCATTAAAGTCTGGGCATCACCCAGGTTCCTAAAGCCGCTCTGATGGAAGCCATGTCCAACTGAAATATGTTGACTAGAGGTCATCAACATTCTTATCACAGAGTCAGCCTATGGTAAAAAGGAACAATATAAAAAACCCACAACTTGAACCTGCTAACTTAAGTTTAAGATTTCAATTATTCTGAAGTACCAGACCTGGAGGGAAAACAAGCTTATTATTTGTTGTGCAGCTTTTGCTTCCTCTGTGACTAATGACCGGGGAAGCCCTTCTCCATCAGCAACAAACAAATCCTAATAAGTAAAGAAATGAACATTCATATTAATCAAATTCAAGCTCACATTTCTTTATCAAGGGAAGTTTCCTAGCTAAAGAAGAGATATCTTCTAGAATTATGAAGGACTAGAAAATACACATATAAAAAAGAACAGAAAGAAAACTTACTTTTAGCATGCCGAGGTCTTCTTCCATCATTGCAACATCTGAATTAGAAAAAGCGCGTGAAGGTCCACCATCCAATAACACCCAAATATAACCTTCCTACACAATGAAAACAGAGTTGGCTCCCGAAAGAAAGTTGTTACAAGTAATTTTTAGGAGTAAAAGAGTATACCAAGGATGACTTGTAAATACGTGAAACAACAAAGTCTCTAAGTGCATCATCAATCAAACCGCAAATATTATTGAGAATCTGTAATGACAAAACCAAGAATGTGAGATGGTTATTCAGGAAAATCCTAGCTGACAACTTGGAATTTGGAAACCATTATGAAATTGAACATTCATCCGACAATCTGTGATATAGTACTTCTTAATTCAGGACAACCATAGCCTTCAAATTGGAATTTGGAAACCGTGATGCATTGAACTGAAAATTTGTGATATGGTATTTTCCTATCCTTCTTTAGTGTTCAGCCTTGTATTATATTTTGGTCTGTCCCACAAAGATAGTGTAGTTTATATATATTGGGTGTGCGTTTAATTTTCGATGTTACCCCTACTTAATTCTTCATCTCAAGAATTCAAAGATAGGACTAAATAGTATGTTAATTTTACAAATGGGAACAATGGGAAATGGATATAGAACTAATTATTTCAAGTACCGCAGCAACCATCTCTTAATCCCTGTACAATCACATACAAGCATATTCTTGTGAGAAGGAAGGAATCTCGTTATTATTATTTTTTATTTTGGGGTTGATGAGAGGCATGATGAATTTTCGATAGACCTCTTACATTGTCAAACTGTGGAAGCACGCTCTCAAGCCGTGCACCTTCCACACTGCTGTGATACAAATGAAACACAAATGACTCCCTAAGATCCCAAAACACAACTCTGGCACCTGGAAGTTAAGCAGGGAGACAGGGTAAGTCTCATTTCCAGTGTAGCTATTGAGGTTTGCAAATCATTGAATAATTCCTTAAAGTAATGTGTCTTTAATTCTTTTTGCATTACTTAGTTTGGGTTGACCTCATAAGCTTTGAGACAAATAAAGACAAATTAATTTGTGGAGCTGTATTAACATCATTAAATATCTAAAGCTTTATCTCATATATCTTCATTTTTGGTTGAAAATACAAACCATCCAACATAATGTGCAGGAATAAATATATAAAATACTTTGATCTATCCCTATCATATGAAAAGGAGCAACTGATATTGTGATGTACAATCTTACCCAAAAGCTCAGATGTAATTCGGATAGCATTAGTAGCAGAGTCTCTGATGCAATCGAAGGTGGCTGCAAAAAGCTCATCTGTTGACTCATCACACATATCTGAATTTCCATTTGAATGCTCGGGTGATTTTCCTTCAGCTAGAGGAAAGAGAATAAACATTAGTAAAGCCATTATTATAAAATCACTAACCTCATCCAGAACTTAATATTCATACATTCGGCCTAGGAAGATGCTAAGAGCCTAAGATAGTCAAATCATCGTTCCTCTCATTCTGAACTTTAATTTCATAAATTTATATATTACAAACCACCAAGAGCCAACTGCACATGATTACAAAGAGCCACGTAAATAAATAAACAAATGTATGACACACGCACACATAAACAAACACACACACACACACATAAACAAAAAATCAAAAAAACAAAAACAAATAAGACTCCAGTGCAAAGAGGCCAAGAATGACTCCAGTACAATAATGATGGCATGATTACAAAGAGCCATGTAAATAAATAAACAAATGTATGACACACACACACATTAACAAACACACACACATAAACAAAACAAAAACAAAAACAAAAAACAAATAAGACTACAGTGCAAAGAGGCCAAGAATGACTCCAGTACAATAATGATGGCATGATGCATATAGAAAGTGAACGATGGCAGTGATGTAGGAAGTGGATGTAGTAGTATTGCTCATCTATTTAATCCAATGACAGTTTTCCTTAGTAGAATCCGCAAAAACAAATTGCTTTTCTAAATGTAATATTTTATGTACCCTATCAGTAAAGATTGCAATTAGTCAATTAAATAAGCTGTGAGCCAGCAAATACTAGATGATGCACATGGGTCAATCTAAACAACAATCATAGTCGGCAATGAAATAAACTATGATGGAAAATGCATAGAAAGAACTATGAAGAATCTCAAAGATGTACCTACGCAGCCACATAGGTCAAATAGTTGTTCAGACTCTACAATCTTACAGAGAGAACTTACAACATATCGTATCTGCAAAAACTCTTATAGTAGACCAAGACTTCCTTATGCCATCTTTGAGGGTGGTCATTTGTCTCTGTATATACTGCATTTGTAAACAATGAAGATGAATAATACACACACCACACAAATATGCATATAGTTTCTACAATTTTAATATGCATCAATATTAATGGGAAGAACAAGGTGAAGTCATGAAGAGAAGCATCACAATAGCAAGGAGATCATCTTATCATCCCAAAATGAAAAGAAGCAATTAAGAAAGTTTGATACTCGTGACATGCATCAACAGCCTTTTTCCTTTTCCTTTATTGTATTGGCATTTGAATAAAAAGACGTGCATAACCCCCTAGTATTGAACTATCATGTTAAATAAAGTGTCAAAAGATATCCAAGTCCCGTTTCTCTTAAACTATAATCTTTTCCAAATTAACCATGGACAATAGAAAAAGTCTGAAGTTATGGTCAGTGTGCTCAAGGAAACTCAGAAATCAGAAGCCTATTGAACAAAAAATATCCCTGATACGTTTATATGTTGGCAGGAATAGGAGAACGGTATGTTAGAATTGCATCATTTTGACAACAAATAAAACTAGATAGTGGCATCATTTTGACACATCAGACTACCAGATAGAATTGCACACTTGCACTTACTTGAAGGGTGTTCAGTCTGACACAGAGTTTAGATATTGTTAATTGATTCAACTTGTTGTACACACCATCATCAAGAACCGCAGCTTCAGCCAATTTTCTTTTAAGTATTGGAAATGCCGTCTCATTGTAACGCGTCAAAGAAGGAACTGGAGGATATAAATCCTGCATGTCAACTGCAGTATGAAACGTGTTCAAAAAACAATCAGGCAGATCAATGGTACTTCGTATTTGACGAAACACAAATACTGTTTTAAGTTGGAAAGGTGAAGACCTAAAGGCAACCAAGCATTCCAGCCCAGCTGGTTGCGAGGGTTACCGTGCCTAGTGGGAGGTCTCATGTTTGAATCCCGCTAGGCCCATAAGGGTTTGAAACTCAATGGAGTGAGTTTCAGCCCTGATTACTCCAGCCCCCCTCCCCCAGACCCCCCCGGAGTAAAAAAAAAAAAAGAAAGAAGGAAAAGGTGAAGACCTAAAGGCAAATAAAACCTATGTCAAAACATTGGAAGGAAGATAAAATGACCAAAACATAACTCATATCTTTTCATTGGACTAAAGTAGAACCGCTTTTAAAATTTCCAAACAAGTAATCAAATTTGAACAAAATTATCTCAAACCCTAGCACACTCCCACACCGACCTCTCAATTGTCACTACGATCCAACCACCACCGTCAACCACCTTCGGTGGCCAGACTTTTTTTTGGAAAAGTCACCTGTAAAAATAGCCAGAAATAGTCACCGCTAGTGACATTGACATGTGGGGCAGTACCAATAGCAGGGGTGGGATCACTGGGGTGGTGGTCACTCGCAATGACATACTAATAGTGACATATTTAGTCTCTTACTCTCTTATGTATAAAGTAATCGCATTTTTATCCATGAGTAATATTTTAGTAATATTGGAGAAAAAACCCATATTTGGCCAACGCTCAAATGTGAGGGCCCCTTCAAATGAATACATCAACCCCATTACCCCAAGGTTGCAAAGGCTCCCAACTACGGTGGTGTAAGGGGGTCCGATATACGCAGCCTTACCCCTATACTAAAGCATACAGAGATTGTTTCCGAATGACCCATGATGAAAATTGTGTGGACTGACTGTTGCTTCATAACAAAGAAGCGCAGACAGTTTAGTGAGTCATTTTGCTTTATTTTTTCATATTCCCAAGCCAAAAAATAGTGAGTCTTTGGCTCCATTGGAAATGATGGAGATCCCCCTTCAAATGGATAACACCCAAAAATAGAATTTCTCAAAGAAATCAACACATCTCTACAATATATCTTCAACATTTTTTATGATAAAGATAATGAAGATTCCTCCACATATATTTCTAGAATTATAGCTCCCATATACAGAAGCCTCTAAAATTTAAAGCTCATAAATTCATAATGGCAAAATGGTCAATGCTCAAAATGTGTGCAAGTCACTAACGGTGCATTAAGATGGAAATTTGTAGTTATGGTGTTTGTAGTTAGAAGTTGAAGGCTTGTTGAATGAAGTATATATGTAAAGGTAATCACAAGAGTCTGGCTCTGTAAAAAAGAGAAATGGGATAGGAGCAAAAACAAAAGGCCAGGTTCTGCTGCATGGCCATTTGGCCAACTATCTCTATGGCAGCAGTTTTTTAAAACAAGGCAGCAAGATGCCCATGAGATGGTTGCAACATAAACCAGAATGAAGAACTAGCAGAGTCAAGTGATCTCTATAACATCAATTCCTTAGTATTAGTCCACACTTGTAAGGCACTCTCAGTGTAAGAAGCCCTAACATGACAACAGTACATTGATTGGAAATATATATAGAAGAATCTTTTGGAATTTCAAGGCAAACACATATTTCTGATTAAATTATTTAAGCCATGAGGTGAAAGAACGGTAATAAGGTTTGCATCAAAAAGCAGCTCATGAAACAACAAAGTTAAACTAAGACAGACAAAAGTGTATAAAATTAATTATGATACGGTTAATACCTAACTGGCTAACCAGTTTCTTCAAGTAGGCATCCAAAGTGTGAAATATTATAGACAGTAAAGCCTGTAAGTGAGTAATATCCACTAGATGCCCCATCTGAAATAACTGGTCCACAGTCTGCATGTCAAGTTGGATATAGCCAAATAAGTATGTAAATTGAAAAGCAAAGAAAAACTTCTAAGTTGGATATAGCCAAAGATGGTCTAATAATCAAGAATACTCCTAAGTTGGAAATCAGTTCATAACTGTTAAAGGCAAAAAAAACTGATAAAACTCTTCACCAAGAAGAGTCTAATTTTATACTACTTATTTTGGTACGGATGTAAAAGGTAGATTGAAGATATTCACAGTGAATCAAAAGCTAAAAGATGTTTCATAAGCTAACCAAGGAGCCAGCGCTAACTACCATTATTTTATGCAGTTAAATCATCATCATCATCATCATTACCCCATTGCCGCAAAGGCTCCCACCTACGGTGGGGTAAGGGGCCGGGTGTACGCAGTCTTACCCTTGTACTAAAGCACAAAGAGACTGTTTCTGATTGACCCATAGTGAAAATCGCGTCGAAAATTGCATGGGATGAGTGCTACCTCATAGACAGTTTAATGAGTCATTTTGCTTTATTCCATCATATTCCCAAGCCAAAAAATAATGAGTCTTTGGCTCCATTGCAAATGATGGAAAAATTTTATGCGGTTAAATAGCATCACAAATTAACACCAGTGTTGTCAATAAAGGCACACCTCCTCTGTAATTCTAAAAACTTCCACAGCAGAAGCTGCTTGCTTTTGCTGATGCGATAAGGGTTCCCAATCCTGCAAATATTGTATTCTATAGCACATATGTTGGTGCATTTAATGTAGATTAAGAAACACACTTCAAGTAAGGAATTGTACGTGAATAAATAGGAAATATAAACAATGAAATTCAATTTGAACAAAGATACACAGCATGACGCAGTATATACAATGATACATGGTATGATATTCTACAGGATAAAACTCCAACTGAAGCAATTCACTGATGAAGATTAATTGTATTATGCACAATAATATTTCTACAGGTATGACACATGGCAACATCAACTATAATTTATGTCCAATTGTTTGATTCACATTAAATACATACCTCAAGATCAAAGGCGCGGCAAGTCCACTCCAGAATTTGTGCATGCTGAGCAATTACCCAATCAAGAATAATTGGCCTTGCGACCTCACCAATCTGCCAGAAACTAAGGGAGATGGGATGACAGCAAACTAACCGATCTTTAACAGAGTTATTGAATGAAAATGGCATGCGGTAATTACTACAAGTATGCTGATATGACCTAAATAATACTCATTTTCACTTCTAATTTCTCCACTTTCCTTTTACGGAAGTTTATTATTACTTTCTCCTCTTTCCATTTTGGCAACTTTCCTACTTTCTCATCTTTCTTTCTAACTTTTCCTGCTTTAATCTTCTCTACTACATTTTTACTCTATTCACTACTTCTCAGTTCTCATAGTTGCCATGGCGTCATCTGGGTGAAGCTTAGGCATCCAGGGGGTGGAGCACAACCGCCATGGCTGGCACCTTGCCTCAAGAGAGCCAAACAATGAATGACGACAGTTAGGCATCAACTATGCATTCATAGGGATGCCCGAGCTTAATTTTCCACTCAAGTTTGCATCTTCTCTCTGACTTGTCTTATTGCTTTCATCCCTTTTCTTCACTTTTATTTATTTGTATGTGCATTTCATTTTTTCTTTATGATTCTTTTCCTGTTCTTCAAATACCAGTCACATGAATCACAATAGTACTTTTTGCTAAACTTTTGTAGTTTCAGTTATTAAAAATAGATATTAGACTCTTGGTTTAAGTTAATATTTTGTATTACGTAGTATGTTTTATATTATGTTTACTTGTCGACTGATGAGAAATGATCCTATCCAGCAGCCCCCGGTCCGAACACCGTCCAAACATTGCCTTTTGGGGCACTTCCCGGTGGAATTTTTTGATGAAATTTTTTGAGCATGTTCTTCATCAAGTCTAGTTTACTCATACCAAATTTCAGCTCAAAGTTCGATGGGGAAGGCAGTCGAATCATTTTTTGAAGTTGACTGCACCAAAATATACATATAAAAACGCAGTCAACTTCAAAAAATGATTAAAATGATTTGACTGCCTTCCCGATCGAATTTTGAGCTGAAATTTGGTATGGACAAACTAGACTTGATGAAGAACATGCTCGAAAAATTTCATCAAAAAATTCCACCGGGAAGTGCCCCAAAAGGCGATGTTTGGACGATGTTCGGACCAGGGGCTGCTGGACAGGATCATTTCTCGTCGACTGATTATCTCTTAGGCAGTCACCTAGTCGTGTAAGCGATAAAGCAGTTAGCTGGCGTCGCGCCTCACATAGCCTCCGTGACAACCTTGCTACCTCTACAACTTTCCTCTTAGATTCCATGACATGTACGCAGATGGAGTAGTAATAATATAAGTTTTGGTACTAGTAACAGTTAATTATTATTATTAGTAGTAGTAATTAGTAATAGTTTCCTCTCAGTACTAATTTCTATGATACTGCAAAGTAAATATTCCTAATAGGAGTTTATTGCAAATTGTAATCAATTACGGCTCTATTTACTTGATGACCAACATTTGTGAGTAGTAAAATACTTGGTAGGAGTTAAGCTTTATTGATAATATCATATCGCTCCAACCTTAATTATATGGCTTTGACAAGGTCAATTTTATAGGTTTTCTCTCAAGGGAGAGACCCTTCCCCCATAGGCTCTATCATGAACAAGTGTGCATTTTCCCTACCACGCTCATAACACACATAGGAAGAGCTGCCAAGGAATTTTCTCTTTGACGTGCATCCCCCTGTATTAATTTAAGCCTTTGATGTGGAGGCATTGGAAATGCATAAAAAATCACCAGGTTATTGCAGACCCTGTTCTAATCTCACGGTAAAAAAATGATAATGCATAGTAACAACCCCACTGTGATAAACTAAAGGGAAAAGGTGCAAATAGGCCCCTGTACTAACCAAAAAAGGTCAAATAAGCCCTTATTTAGGAGGTTCTGTCCGGCCGTCGTCATTTGGGGTGGTTCCCGGTGGAATTTTTTGATGAATTTTTTTGAGCATCTTATTCATCAAGTCTAGTTTGCTCATATCAAATTTCAGCTAAAACTTCAACCGAGAAGGCATTCAAATGAATTCTTGAAGATAACTGCGTTTCTAAGTGTGCAGTTATTTTCAAGAATTCATTTGAATGCCTTCCCGATTGAAGTTTTAGCTGAAATTTTGTATGATTAAACTAGACTTAATGAATAAGATGCTCAAAAAATTTCATCAAAAAATTCCACCGAGAACCACCCCAAATGGCGACGGCCGGACAGAGCCTCCTAAATAAGGGCCTATTTGACCTTTTTTTGTTAGTACAGGGGCCTATTTGCACCTTTTCCCTAAACTAAATGCCAAAACTACAAAATTGAAAATTCTTTTTATAATGAACATAAAACAACAATCTTTTCTGGTTATACCTAGAAACATTATACAAAGGTGCCAAACAAAATATGTTCGGTCATGGCTTGTTTCATATTGTTGAGTATGGTTAGGAACTTAGCTGAATAACTGAAATACTAAATAATAGTTGAACTAGCTTAGTTTGTGTGTGTGCATATGCCGTATATATATAGGTCCCTTGTATCCATAGGGGTAGGAATGGCAATACATTTTGTAAGACATCCTTATCTTTTTTTTTTTTGAAGAAAGGCCTTCCTTATCTTTTCTTTCCTTCTTTACGTAGTATCAAAACCTATCTCCATCCATTAAAAAAATGTTGATGTATGGGAGAATTCCCGAAATAGGAGTAAAAACATTTGAGAATTCCAAAATAGGACTATCAAGTTTTATTCCCTAAATAAGAGTAATCCCTGTCAAATTTGGAAAATAATGTCATGTTTGAAGTCTGGTACTGCCAAAACTTGGCAATAATTACTCCTATTTAGGAAATAAAAACATGACATTCTTAGTTTGGAATACAAAAACGTTTTTACTCCTATTTAGGGCAATTTTCCTTGATGCATTAGTATTTTGGTATGCACAGTATCCTGCAATCTTTTCCCTTGGTTTATCCTATTTCAGAGATCAGATCAAGTACTACGCATATTGTAGTGCTCAGAGCCTCGGCATGAAAAACCCACTTAAGTTTGATTATACCTGTCACTGTAGTCTATTGATGATGCACTATTTTTTTTGTTCGATTTCATGACCTATGTCATTCTACCTCAACCTCTTTCTTTGACAACACCATGGGCAAACGGATGGAGAGTGGATTTATCCCTCTTGGGTTGCTCGCGTAAAACTTTGGTGTAACGGACATAGTCAAATCCGGTAAATTGACGGAGGAGGCTATGAAGGGCATAACTATAAACAAGACCAGCTGGGCAAAGATAAATGCCAGACCATGTGACAAAATACAGAAGCTTTATTGTCAAAACTCCATGGCGTTTAAAAGGACTTATAAAATGAGTCACAAACATCGGTCATGGTGAAATCTCTCCATAGCAATGATATCTGGTGGTTACATATATTCACTGGTTTCAAACATGGTCAACTTCAGGTGTTATATACCAAACCAAACATACCCAGTATGCAAGGCTATGCAAGATAATGCACAAATGAAGGAACAAGACAAACTCTTCAAAGAGTTTGCTTTGGCTATTCTTCGTCCAGGTAAGATGGACGCTCATGATCATATCTTATAAAGTCCTATATTCCCACTTTTGCGAATAATGATCGAGTTTTTACTCAGGTGGTGTGCTATGATCATTCAATACGACAGCCAGTTCAATATTATAATAAAGTCTACCAAAGGAGAAGTAGGAAGTCAGTTAGTAATAACTAACTAGTTAGTTAGTTCTGTTGTTCCCTGCGTGGACAAATTACTATAAATTGAAGCTTAAGAACTAGAAGATGTAGGCTGTTAGTTCTGTTGGCTTTAGACTTGGAGACTGGGCATCTCGAATTGTCTGTTACTACTGTATTCCTTCTGTAATCATTCATCTACATCAATAAAGAATTCTTGATCTATTTCTTGATCAATTCTTCCTAAAATTCTACTGTTCCGGAACGGAAATACCAGTGTTCTATCATGCTACACATAACTCGCTTTGGTAAGCTAAATTGCACATTGTCATAATTTAATTATTTAATTCAAACAGGAAATCGTTGGTGCACATTGTCATAATTCAATAAATCTTCCATTAATATACAATAGTAAAGAATTAATTAATAAAAAGTTATTGAAAATACTTCATAAATTAAAAAATGAACGAACCTTGTAATGCACAAATTCATTGGTGCATGAGGAATGAAGTGTGCTCTCTTTGTTCCCCAAAGTATAAAGCTCAATTAAGCGATTTTCCAATAGAATAGCAGCAGTAAGCACCTCCCTGACACCTTCAGAAAGGCATGAAACATCATTGAGAAATGGTTCCTGTTCAAAAAGGAGAGAGGAAATATCATAACCCTCACCAACAAGACACTAAATACAAATTCACACAGTAGGGGGAAATACCAATCTTTCCCCGTAAGTTTTGTGCAATTTCAAGGCAGAAACAATTCCAGCATCAGGGATGAATTTTTGGAGGATTGGATAAAACAGAGTCAGCTCCATCTCAGAAATTAATTTTAGCTCACTTGCAAGCAAAGTCAAATGATGTGTCCTGTCTATTGTACGGCCAAGACTTACGGCATCAGTTACCTGAAATCATTGGCATAGCACATCAATGTTTTAAATAAGTAATCGGTTTCCATATTAAACATTTTTGCATAGCTATTCATATCATACCCTCTTGCAAGCAGCTTCTATCGAACTTTCAACATAATTTTTTACCTTTCTATAACGAATACTATCCAGAACTTCAACATTTGTGAACTGCAACAAGTAGGAAGTTTAGGAACAAAAGACCACAAAGCAAGTACAACAGCTAACTATTTTGCTACGAGTCTAGGAACACATGACAATTTTTCAGTTAAAAAGAAGAAACTCATAGTAAAAAAAAGAAGAAAAAAAGAAACTCATAGTATTGAATTACCATTCAATACATTTCACTGTATTACTGAGGAAATTGGCGTGTACTCCATATTTTGTGAATGTTGCATGATGAGAATACGGGAAGGTTGGATATTAATTACAATAGGGATTTCTCTAGAGTCTATACTAGGAGGGGTAGAAGGGTAAATTAATAATAAAAAGAAGAGAATAAAAGGCAGATGGAAGGTAGAGGAAGGCATTCTGGAAATCGGGAATTTGGATAGTTCTGGGAGAGCGGGGCCCTCTCGAATGGCTTCCAAGTTGTAAACTTCTTTCCGTATTTCTTCGTTCCTATCTATCTGAAACTTACAGACTCTTTATTCACAAATTGCTATAATAAAGTTGGCATATTTTCTGGAGTTCTCTGTTCTTATCATTTGGTATCCGAGCGTCGATCACTGCACCTGTGTATGGTACTCACTCGACTGAACATGGAGCAACGGATGGACAGTTTGGAGCGATCATTTGAACGATCAAAGGAAGAGATGCGAACAGAGTTGGGGGCGATGAACGAGAAATTGCAGATGATGTTGGAGAAGATGCAAAGTCTTGAGACCCAGGGAAATTGCAGAACAAGAAGAGGACGATCGACTACAAACCGTCGACGCCAAACTTTCGCAAGTGAGGGCTCTTCCAGTTCCGAAGGTAAATCTCACGGATCTACCTCGGTTTCACGAACTCCTGATCAGGCGCGAATCAGTGACCGTGTGTATACGGGAAGGTTCTACAACAAGAAGAAGAAGGGTACTACATGCATTATGAATTGAAGAAAGACAGAAAAGGGGAACAGGAACATGGGAAGGAGTGGGAGAAGTTAGTGGGGGAGTTTCCAAGGGTTATTCAGAAGCAGACCAGTTTACCCCCTAAAAGAGCATTTGATCATGCTATTAACATTAAGGAAGGAGCCCCTATTCCAAATTCCAGACCCTATAGATATCCACACTACCAAAAAGATGAGATAGAAAAGTTAGTGAAGGAGATGTTGAACCATGGAATCTTGAGACCGAGCACTAGCCCCTATAGCAGCCCAGTTATTATGGTCAGAAAGAAGGAAGGAGGCTGGAGAATCTGTGGTGATTACAGGGCTCTCAACAAAATCACGATTCCTGACAAGTTCCCTATTCCGGTAATTGAAGAATTATTGGATGAGTTGGGTGAAGCAAAGATATTCTCAAAGCTGGATCTGAAATCAGGTTATCATCAGATTCGAATGAAGGAAAGTGATATTCCGAAGACGGCCATTAGAACCCAAGAGGGACATTACGAGTATGTAGTAATGCTTTTTGGGTTAACAAATGCCCCTTCAACCTTTCAAGCTTTAATGAACCACATTTTAAAGCCCTATTTGAGGAAATTTGTCCTGGTTTTTTTCGATGATATATTGGTCTATAGCAGAAGTGTGAAAGAGCATGGTGAACATTTAAGGAAAGTGCTACACTTGCTCCAAGATAACCAGTTAGTTGTTAACAAAAAAAGTGTTATTTTGGACAAAGGGAACTCGTTTACCTGGGGCATATCATATCAGATCAAGGGGTTTCAGCTGATCCAAGCAAGGTAAAAGATATGTTGGACTGGCCTATGCCTCAAGAGGTGAAGGGACTTAGAGGGTTCCTGGGATTAACTGGCTACTACCGAAGATTTGTGAAAGGCTATAGCAAAATAGCCAAGCCTTTAACTGACCTCTTAAAAAAGGAGGGGTTCAAGTGGACACAAGAGGCTACGACTGCTTTTAACGGTTTGAAGCAAGCCATGACTTCATTACCTGTTCTAGTTAATCCCGATTTCAACAAAACATTCATAATCGAAGCTGATGCTTCTGTACAGGGCATAGGGGCTGTTTTGATGCAGGAGGGCAGGCCTATTGCTTTTATGAGTAAAGTTTTATCCAACCGGAACCAAAATAAATCTGTCTATGAGAGAGAACTGTTAGCTATTGTGATGGCAGTGCAGATATGGAGACCGTACCTAATGGGCAGGACATTTGAAGTACATACAGATCAGAAAAGCCTGAAATTCTTGACAGAGCAGAGGCTGATGGGTGAAGAGCAACAAAAGTGGGTAACGAAGCTGCTGGGATATAATTTCAGTATTAAATATAAACCGGGTTTGGAAAATAAAGCTGCTGATGCTCTATCCAGGAAGGGCAGTTACCAGGCTTTATCAGTAGTGAATTTCCAGGAATGGGAAGGCCTAGAGGAGGAACTATTGCAAGATACAAGGTGCAATAAATTAATTCAGAACTTGCTGGTACAACCACAATCTCAGCCGGGCTTTAAATTGAGAACTGGGCTACTCTATTATAAAGACAGGCTCATGTTACCAAGAAACTCTCCAAGAATTACTCATGTGTTGAAAGAATTTCATGACTCAGCTTGTGGGGGACATGCAGGTTACCTTCCAACATTAAAGAGGATAGCCAGTGTCCTGTACTGGGAAGGGATGAGGCAAGACATTCAAAAGTATGTGAGGAGTTGTGAGATCTGCCAAAGAAACAAGTACCAGGCTTTAAATCCTGCAGGACTCCTACAACCATTGCCTATTCCAAATCATATTTGGACTGATATCAGTCTAGATTTCATTGGAGGATTACCCCGAACCATGGGAAAGGATACAATTCTAGTGGTTGTTGACAGGTTAACTAAGTATGCCCATTTTGTGGCATTGGGCCATCCTTATACAGTTAAAAGCGTGGCCGAGGTGTTTATTCAGGAGGTGGTGAGGCTTCATGGGTTTCCCAAGACCATAGTTTCTGATCGTGATGCCGTATTTTTGAGCTCGTTTTGGTCTGAATTGTTCAAACTTGCAGGTACTAAGCTGAAATACAGTACTGCCTACCATCCCCAAACAGACGGGCAGAACGAGGTGGTGAATCGTTGTGTGGAAACGTATCTTAGATGCATCACTGGTAGCAAACCAAAGAAATGGCCCCAATGGCTACCTTGGGCTGAGTTCTGGTACAACACAAACTATCATGCCTCATTACAAATGTCTCCTTTCAAAGCATTATATGGTCACGAGCCTCCAACTGTAATCCTAGGGGACGCAACAAAAAATGCAGTGGAAGAAGTAACCAAACTTACTGCCGATCGCAATGAAATGATCAAGGAATTGAAGCAAAACCTAGAGGTGGCTCAAAATCGAATGAAGCAACAGGCAGATAAAAAGCGTAGGGATGTGCAGTTGGAAGTGGGAGACAGAGTGTTTTTGAAAATACAATCTTACAAGTTGAAAAGTCTAGCTAAGAGGCTGAATCAAAAACTAAGCCCCCGGTTTTACGGTCCGTTTGAAGTCATTGATAGGATCAACCCAGTGGCTTACAAGTTAAAACTGCCAGAAGGTATGCACCCGGTTTTTCATGTCTCTTTGCTGAAGAAAGTCGTGGCCCCTAATATTCCCACTCAGCCTCTACCAGGATGTTTGACTGAAGACTGGGAACTTCAAACACAACCTGCACAAGTGCTGGATGCTAGAGAAAACACCAAAGGGAGCAAGGAGATATTGATTCGCTGGAAAGATCTACCAGAATTTGAAGACTCTTGGGAAGATTTGTCTCAGTTCCAAGTTATGTTTCCAAATTTCCACCTTGGGGACAAGGTGAATTTTAAAGGGGGAGGTAATGATGAGAATACGGGGAGGTTGGATATTAATTACAATAGGGATTTCTCTAGAGTCTATACTAGGAGGAGTAGAAGGGTAAATTAATAACAAAAAGAAGAGAATAAAAGGCAAACGGAAGGTGGAGGAAGGCATTCTGGAAATCGGGAAGCGGGGCCCTCTCGAATGGCTTCCAAGTTGTAAACTTCTTTCCGTATTTCTTCATTCCTACCTATCTGAAACTTACAGACTCTTTATTCACAAATTACTATAATAAAGTTGGCATATTTTCTGGAGTTCTCTGTTCTTATCATTGTAGCGTTGTGAAATATTGACCAAAAGAGTAAGGAATATTCAAAAAACCATAAAAAGAAATAGTAGCACGGCTCTATAAGACTATTCAGTCTTTTGTAATCTAATTTAATAACTGAAAGTATGTGTGCTATCTCTATACATAAAGCCAACAAAGTACTGAACTATGTTACTTAACGTACTAGGAAGAGATTGACATGCCTTATTGAATAATGCAAAGTTCAGATTCCACACAAAATCAGTGGCTTACAAAAACTATTAACAGAAAATGAATAGACCATTCTTTTGAGAAGCTTATCTCAATACCTTGAACGTAGAGCTAGTTTGGAAACGCTACAAATAGCAAAAGGAAAGCATAGGCAACTGTGAAAACCCTAGTAGTATTGGGCTTAGCCCATTTGTATATCTTGTATAGGAAACCCTAGTACTCTAAATATAGCTATAAATATAGCTTCTTGTATAGCATTTTAAAATAAAATATATGAAATACAACAATACTTCTTTACATGGTATCAGAGCCACTATGGCAATTGTTAGTGTACTGCTATGATTTTTCCGGCGGCGTCATTTCCGGCCAGTATTCCGGCGTGAAAGGGTATACTTAGATATATGGTTTGGATTACACTGACACTTTTTCTCCTGTAACGAAGATTGCATCAGTTCGTTTGGTTTTATCCATTTTTCTCCTGTAGCGAAGATTGCATCAGTTCGTTTGGTTTTATCCATGGCAGCAATGAGCCGCTGGCCATTGTTCCAATTGGATATCAAAAACGCATTCCTTCACGGAGATCTACACGAGGAAGTTTATATGGAGCAACCACCTGGGTTTGTTGCTCAGGAGGAGTCTGGTATGGTGTGCAGATTACGTCGTTCATTGTATGGCTTGAAGCAATCTCCACGTGCATGGTTTGGGAGGTTTAGTGCCGTTGTCTGCAGCTTTGGCATGATTCACAGTGATGTTGATCATTCTATATTCTACAAACATTCTGCTGACAACAAATGTATTTATCTTGTTGTGTATGTTGATGACATTGTCATTACAGGTAGCGATGATCAAGAAATTGTGCTCCTCAAGCAACATCTCTTTAGGAAATTTCAAACAAAAGACTTGGGAAAGTTGAGATACTTCCTTGGCATTGAGGTCGCACAGTCTGAAAATGGAATTTCTCTCTCACAAAGAAAGTATGCCTTGGATATTGATAGCCGTTATATTTACTTATGTTTAACATAAGTATTTATAAGTATTTGTTGAAGAAAGGAAGAGAAATCAGGCAAATACCTCCAAAATGAGAGCTAGAGCATAAAACATTGCGATGAACGACTTTTTAGACCAAGAGAATGACGTTCTGCCCATAATTTGAGTATAACGTATTCTATAGAACTCGAAATCACTCGATTCAAGTTTCATGTGAATGCTAACTCAATAAGGTACAAATGTTATGAAGACGTCATGGCCAAAATATGAAAGGAACAAGACTCAATCAACCAACAAAGTCAGATGTTGCTGGTGGGATTTCAGGATGCATACCTCTCAGTGTTTTAGCCATAACGTTTGATTGGATGAATAAAATCACGTCATTCAAGTTTTGGTGGATAGACGACTTCATTATCTACAACTTTGGTGAAGGACTCATGTCCAAATTCGTAGCGGAACATCCCCAAAATCCCAGGACAAAACCGGCGCCGGAATTTCACCAAACCAGCGCCGGTTGCATTTAATCTGCCATTTTCCCGGTTGGCCGAAGTATAACCGGCGCCGGTTTTACCCTATAACCGGCGCCGGTTATGGTGTTTTTCAGTATTATTTCAGCCCCGAAGTAAAACCGGCGCCGGTCAAGCCTAAAACCGGCGCCGGTTAAGCCCGAATCTGCAGAATACAAAGAGACGTGCAGCCATATCTTGATGGGAAAAACTCACCTTCCTCATGATCTGATCAAATATATCTTCCATGCCTGATTGTTGGGCTCGAATAGACTAAAAGATGCCAATCTTTAGCCTATATAAAGCCCCCAATTCATCAAACAAGATCATCATTCCATTCTTGAAGATTAAATTTCAGTTTTTATATTTCCTTTTTACATTTTCTTGAAGTGTTGGAGAAGAAGCCATTTCTCTCCTCTACAATTGGTTCTAGGTATTATTTCTTGTATGTTATTGTATTTCATTGTTCTTAGTTACACTTTTGTAATTAATATGAGCATTAGAGGCTAAGTTCTTAGCTAAGGCTAGGGATGAACTTCTATGCCCACTAGGTGTTTGATAAAAGTTCTAAACCAATAAATTGTGATTTATCCTTTACATTTTGATTGTTTATGACTATGGTGTACAACATAGAAGTATGTTAAACTTAGTTTATGCTTGCAATTAACGTTGAAGTCTAAACTATGAACATTAAAGGATAAACATATATATTACCGAGAATAGAAATATATCCGGTATTATATGATACGGGTGTGATGTCTTGATATTCAACGGGGTTTTCGGTAGATGAATGTAAGCCGTAACGGGACTTACACGTAACGAAAACCACGCTCTCGCTGCCTTAACCGGAGTTGAGAATATATTAGCGATATCGTATTCATAATTATTGGTAAAGAACTAATATTCAACTCTATTAAAGCATTTAAGTGATTCCCGAAGCCTTAGCCGTTGTTATCATTTAAACCCGAATTAATTAAAGTTGTTTCCTTGAATTAAAAGTGAAAAGCCAAAAATACAAAACACAAATCAAAATCCCTGCACTTTACTCATTTATTTATTTAAAGTCATCTACTCTCGGACTTGAATTAAACAACGTTTCCCTGTGGATTCGACCCGGTATTTTACCGGAATTTATTACTATATCGGCACTTGTACACTTGCAAGTTTAGTCCGGTCAGATATTCTTGAGGAAACAGGGTTGCTAGATTGCAGGCCAGTGGATACACCAATGGATCCGAACGTTAAACTCTTATCAGAACAGGGAGATCTTTTGCCCAACAAGGAAAAATATAGAAGACTCATCGGCAAATTGAATTATCTTACCATCATGAGACCAGATATCTCATTTGCGGTAAGTGTTCTTAGTCAGTTTCTTGATAAGCCATGTACTGGACATTGGGATGCAGCTATCCGAGTTTTGAGATACATCAAGAAAACTCCAGGGCAAGATTGTTGTTTGAAGATCGAGGCCACCACGATATTTTGGGATACTGTGATGCAGACTGGGCCGGATGTCCGATGGATGGACGTTCCACATCGGGATATTGCATCTTAATTGGTGGAAACTTAATTTCATGGAAAAGTAAGAAACAGGATGTGGTTGCCAGATCTAGTGTTGAAGCAGAATATCGTGCAATGACCCTTGCTACATGTGAAATCTTATGGTTGAAGCATCTCCTCCAAGAGTTAAAATATGGAAACACAAAACCGGTTCAACTCATGTGTGATAATCAAGCTGCAATGCACATTGCATCAAATCCGGTATATCATGAGAGGACGAAACATATTGAAGTTGATTGTCATTTTATCCGAGAGAAGATCACGAGTGGACATATCATCACAAAATATGTGAACACAACTGAACAACTTGCAGATATTTTAACTAAGTCTCTCAGAGGTCCTAGAGTGGGATATATTTGTAACAAGCTTGGTACATATGATTTATATGCTCCAGCTTGAGGGGGAGTGTGAAAACCCTAATAGTATTGGGCTTAGCCCATTTGTATATCTTGTTGTAGGTTTTGGGAATAAAATTCCTTGATTGAATATGCCAATCGGCTGAGGTATAAATACAGGATGTACAAGTAACAAACTACCAGAGTAGATCCTATTTTTTAGGATCTGACCAACTACAATCTTATCAATAAGCAACAACTTCTAATCTGATCTAATAGACCAGTCTTCTAATCTAATCTATCCGGTAATTATGTACACACAATAATTAAGAAATAAATGTAACATTTTCTACACTTGTATAGGAAACCCTAGTACTCTAAATATAACTATAAATATAACTTCTTGTATAGCACTTTAAAATAAAATATATGAAATACAACAATACTTCTTTACAGCAACCACTAGAACTGCTAGTGATATCAATGGAAAACTAGTGAAACCACTTCAGGGGAAGGACCTTGGTTATTGCATTCCAGAGGATAAATCCCCTGTGCAGAATGCCAGAATGTAATAAACTTGACAAATTTCCTTTGTCTTGTGCCTAATAAAAATAGTTCTCTATTTGATGAAGTAAATATGAGTTCACATGCCTGGGATTGTGCTCAGAGAGCAAACATATATAATGTTGTGTGGTTTCCCCTATGTAAGGGAATGTGAACTCTTCATAGGAGTTCAGAGAAATGAAGATTGAGGAATACAGTTGAGTAAAAGAAGAACGGAAGGATCATTATATGTAAAAAAAAAAAAAAAAACTAGCACTTTATGGAATGGGGTTATAGTGAGAAGGGGGGATATATCAGATATTCAGATGCAGTTGCATGTATGAGATGATTATATACTACAATAATCTTTTGTTAGCATGTCACAAATTAAGTTTCACTGTTCTATAGACCTAAATTGTTTAATTTAGCTATATTCTCGTTACTTAAAAGTGTCATGTTATTTACCCTTCTGTTGAGGTAGCACTAGTATTTGGTTTGGTGATTAGACTTAAGTGGTCTAAACCCGTTATGTTACCTTGTTCTTGTCACATGAATCAAAACTATATGCTTCAACCATCAACTTCATGTTCATCACCTCCTTAAGGAGATTAGGTTTCTGAAAAGTAGAAAGAATGTCAGCTGGAAATTGATTCCTCCCAGGAGATAAGACCTACCAACTACACCAACACCAAAATGTCAAAGAAAGAAGAAATGAAACAAAACAAAACAAAACAAAACAAAACAAAACAAAACAGACAGACCTCAGCAAAATGCAGATGGTAATCCTGCAACATGCTATCACACCAGATACTAATGGAGAAAATAGCAGATTGCAAGAAACTTGATCTAGTTTGGCAGCCATTCCAGGTAGTGAAACATAATAGGCCATCTATATATTTATCTTCCATATGATCCTCATCTTCAGCAGACAAAACCTTAAGCATTTCATGAATGGAGTAGTCTAAAAGTACTGCCTCATCTGTCGCAACAAACTTTATAATCAGCAAAAAAATGCATCAGAAGTTTTGTCAAAACTCTACATAGCGGTGACATCTAAAAGTACAATACAAAACTGTATCCCACAATTAAAGGTGCACAAAGTATACCAAATGCATAGCATGTCTACCTGTTGAAAAAGCACCCATGCATATATCACATTATGGAGTTTCTGAGTAATGCCTAACATTGACCAAGATGACTTGAGGAGCTTCAGGATCTCAGCAGCTTCCTGAAATAGATTGAATTAGATAAAGCCATAAAGTTGATACAGAATTACAAAGAAAAATAAAATACCTCAATAAGGTGGTCCTCTTCAAGAATGTCAAACAAACCAACAAGTAGTTTCTCATAAACCCGAATATTCAACTGATAACCAGCACTCCAATAATAATTTTCACCTCGAATGCCATACTTGGGTGGCATACTTGATAGTGTCAGAGCAATATGCCTAATAGCGGATAAGACTTCGTAGCGTTCGGAGGGAGACATCCTAGTGTCCCAATCCTGAAGAACAAAAGAACTCTTTGCTTTAAAAGGGCAATATTTTCATCAAGAAAATGTGAGGATATAAGTGTACCTCAGGATTTCTAATTCTTTCAATCAAAGTTTCAACTGATTGCTTCTTATCGTTGACGTACTCAGCTGAAGAAAGAAGTTCTTCAAGAATATTTGCCTACAATATGCGCATATGAAAGTTACAAAGACAAACCATAGGACCGAAACTAGTAAATTAACTTGAATCATATGTTAGCATACAAGATTATAGCAAAAAATCATTAGTAAGATATTTTTCAAAGGAAGCCCCGACACAAAATGACCAATAAAATGAACTGATAAAATCTCTCTAATTGAAAGTACTAAAGAAAAAAATACCATCTATGAAGCACTTATTGGATCATATGGAATTCATGCAAATAGCACTTCTTCAGAGAGATTGATTTAAGAGTCAAACTATGTAACATAATAAGGTACAAAATTAACTAGTACTTGTCTTCTCTTCCATTGGATATATGACTTCTCATTCTGAAAATCGGACTTGAGCACACCATTCAACAATCCCAATATTATCTGAGGAATATCAATATGACCCCAAGATCTCTCTGCTGCAAAAGCAGCCAAACGTTGTCGAGTAAGATTATCCATGGCTTCTGAGATCTAGTAAATAAAAAACCTTAGTTATTCCGGCAACCAAAAGAAGTTAAGAAATGAGCAACAAAACATTAAAAAATGGTAGATATATGCGACCTCTTTCTGCATGTATCTAACTTATGCATGGATGCACCTTTGTAAAAGGCAAAGACCGCAAAGAAAAATTTAATTCTTCAGCAATATTTCTTGTGTTAAAAAAAGTCTTCATTCGGTCCAATAGACCGTAGAACAGGACACCAAAATTTGAATTCATATGCTGTATCAAGTTTTACATTATTTTTAAGTGATATTTTAAGTTTTAACAGCCTGAAAAAAGTTCAATTTATAACCACTGAAGATCCCTTGGTATATGTATCTTACTATCCTTAGTGAAAAATAAACAAATGACCACATTTTTTCCCGAAATAGTGATTTACACGCCATACAAAAACTATAACTTAGAATTAATATAAAAAAAAAAAGCACAATTCAGTAAAATACAGAAGAAATGGAAGAGATATAAAAATAAAATAAAATGAAAAAGGAAAAATTGAAAATAATAATCCCAACTATTACTCATCCGCTAACAATAATCCCAACTATTGATTATTTTTGTATAATCCCAACTATATGGGTCATCCGCCAATAATGGTCCATGACCAAATATTACCACCTATAAAAGTGAATTTTAAATAAAAATTAAGCGTGAAAATTAAAAGTTGGGATTATTTATAGGGATTACTTATTATATCTCTTCTCATCCACTTCAGAAACTTCATAAATTTATTTACAGGGACTATTATTGGCGGAAGGTCCCTAAAGTTAGGATTATTCTGAAATAATCAATAGTTGGGATTATTATAAACGGACCGCCAATAGTTGGGATTATTACAATCAATTTTTCCAATGAAAAATCAATTACATGCCTGCATTTGTGATCGGAAAATATCAATGAGCTGCGAAAGTCTACCAGGAGAATCCGACCTTAGGTATCTTTTACCCTTTTTATTCCTCAATCCAGCCAGAAGTCCAGAGTTCTTCTCTTTCTTTCTACTCCCATTAAAATGAAGTCCAGTCCTACTCGTACAAAAATAAAGCTTTGAGAAAAGAAACAGAGTAATAGAACTACTAAAATCCCAATGCAAAACAGGTATTTATATATGAGACAGTTGACATTCTGAAGTGCAAATTTATTCATCATAAATATAAAAAGATTTAACTGCAAATACATAAATGAAGTTGTCATCAGAAATATGGCTGAGCAGTTACCCTGAAAGCACCATGCAAGCAAGGATTATTTCATAAGCAGATTCCCTCAAGTCATCGTCCGATAATCCTTCAGGAATCCCAAAATTTGTATCAGTATCACTCAAAAAATGCATTAATAGGGGGATAATGTTGAACAAATGCACCAAGTGTTAGCTACATAAGGCTCGGCACTCCTTCACCACATAGTAACAGAGAAAATGAATAGTACAGAATGGCTTGTTTTCATATATCATTCTTTTTCTCAGTGGTAAACACTCAAGACAAAATACCTGTATGTAAGGTAGGTAATCCAATTTTAGGGATATGGTCTCGATTCCTTGGAACAGATTTTGTTGATCCAGAAGTGGCATGTTTTAATCCATACTCGTAACCGGGTAAACAACTTGAAAGATCAGAATCAATTGATGAATGAATACTAAATTGGTATGCTACAATAGGAGGCGGCACCCGCCTGGGAGGAGAACCAGCTGTTTCTGTGCCTGAAAGAATAGAATATGAGCCTCCAAAGTGTGACTGCATCTGCATAAACAAAACACATGAAACATTGCATATTTAGTCCAAACAAAAAAAGCCCAGAGCATAAATATTCAACAAGAGAAAGAGAAGAGGAATAGAGCAGTTGAGACTTCACCAGTATCCTTCAATATTATGCAACAAAGAAATGCATTAAACACAAGTAACAATGCATCTAGCTTAAAGGAGTGTTTGGGTTTGCTTAAAAAAAGCGCTTTTCAGCTTTTGGCTTAAAAAAGTTGAAAAGAGTGTTTTCAAATGACAGCTTCTGCTTAAATTAATCACTTAAAAGCTAAAAGCTGGAAGCAGGTAGAAGGGTGCTTTAAACTGCTTCTCACTTTTTCTATTGCACAAAAAGTACTTATTTTACCAAACACTACCAACTTTTACTTTTCCAGAATCACTTTTTTCTCAAACACTACCAACTTTTACTATTAATCACTTTTCCCAAAATCACTTTAAAAAATCACTTTTTTAAAGTTGAAGCAACTGCAAACACTCCCTAAATCAGTTATAGTAAGGTAAATGATGATCAGTGGCCCGGCTTATTTGGGGCACTTTATTTAATTAAAATAATATAAGAAGCAAGCATGCTATATATCCTTGCTCAACCTGCAAGTAGTGACAATGAATTCCAGAACAAGTTCAATACACCATACTGGAATATGCAGTCCACATAGGGACAGAGTTAGGGGTGGGGCCTAACCGGGCTCCAGCCCACCAAGTTCGGTCAAATCTTTTTAAGTATAAAATTTTATATAAATGATTTATTCTTTACTTCCAGTCCAGCCCAAGACAAGTCTAGGTTTAGAGGAGTGCTGGCTCAGCCTCTTGAGTCTGCAAGAAGGTTTATCAAGCATACAGTATCTCCTTTAACTGTTGCTCAAACTCTATAAACCAAATGGCCATTCCTTCTAAACAAACTAGATGCACCAATCTACACAGAAATGCTGTTGTATCAAAATTTGTGGTTCACACAGAAAGGTTATCATTAGTGTAACTCTTTACAAGGTTTACTGCTGTTCATGATGCTCCGTATCGCTATATCAGCGATGTATCCTTGATCTTGTGAAATATCCCAGTACAAAGGGAAAATTAATATCGAAATGAAATAATGAAAAATAGTTATACTTGCTTGAAGAAAGAATTCGAAATGAATAAAATAATCCCTATTTAGCTGCGCCGGTTTCTTTGAAGAGAAAAAGTAAACATAGCATAATTTCTCAAATGAAATAGGAGTACCATTGTTTTCTTCCCAAAAAAATCACTCATTAACCTTATTTTAGAACTTTGTCTTTAGCCATGTTTTATTTCTATTTTGAGCTATTTCTTTTATTTTTCTTTTTGAGCTCTGAACTTCAACCCATTTTCTTCATGAAAAAATACTACCGAGTAACATATAATATTACCGTTATTGGACGTTGGAGTTCTTCCCGATATTTCTTGCTTGCTATAGATACATCTACCACATGGCCTATGCATTAAAAAAATCAATAATTTAAAAAATGAACAAATGGGGTGCTCAAAATTTTGAAATACGAAGGTAAAGCAAGAATAAATGAATCAGAATTACTGGATTGAATGCATTCGAGAACGTAATCGATGCTGAGAGCATCGAGGTTAACGTTGGAGACGGAGGTGGTAGAACCGGACGGCGTTCGGATTTCTTTGATCAAGCCAGACGATAACAGAAACTCTAGAAGCTTCCTGCGATCGCGACGGTAGCGCTGCAGCAATGAAGCACCCTCCATGGAATTCTCGTAGAGGGTGAACCAGCTGAATACACTAAAGCATTTCCGAGTGCATATACACTTCAACAGAGACGGCGGCCCGCGCTGTGATTTCAAGTCTAGAGTCAGTTCAGCCCGCCTGCAGGTAACACTTTCCAGCGGCCGAGCTTGCGACAGATGAGAACTGAGAAGGGATGGAGACTTGGTCCGCACGGCGGCGGGTAATCAAGGAGCGCCGAAGACGAGCATGAGAAGTGAGAACCAAGTCAGACCTCTTTTGCCTTTTTCTTTTTCGCTTTCTTTTCCACTCTGACAGTTTGACCAACTTCAATTTTCAGTTTTCACTGCTTTCCTCTCTACTAGTAAATCACCCGTGCGATGCACGGCCGGAGAATTTCTATCTCATCTTTTCTCCTTTCAAATTGTTTTCAAAACAATCGCCACAAAAGACTTATTGACAATAATACAAAACTTTGCCAATAAGTTACAAAGTACACAATTAACGATCAGCCACAGTAATAAAATAATAAAGTACACCAAAATAATTCTACAATGACCTATAGGCATTTGTTAAAAACGGAATGGAATGCAACGCTACACGTTATTGAAAACTTCCTCATAAACAACAATTTCAGTGGCATTCGCGGTCTTGCCGCTGTCATCACATATAAGAATTCTCAAACCACGCCTGTTGGTCACTCTTGAAACCGCAACATAGAGCTGTCCATGCGTGAACACAGGTTTCCTCAACAACAAATCCACCCGTGCGATGCACTGCCGGTGAATTTCTAACCAATTTTTTCTTCCTTCATAATTTTTTCAACACCATCGGCCCAAAAATATTTGCTGATAATAAAAACAAACCTTTGGAGTACACTTACCAAGTACACAATTCAAGATTAAGGAAATATTAAACATAGAAATATAATAACCAAACCAAAATAATTCTGCAAAGATCAACACACATATGTTAAAAACTGAATTCAATGCAACGCTAGACGTTATTGAAAACTTCTTTATAAACCACATTTTGAGTGGCATCAGTCGTCCTGTCGCACCCATTGCATATAAGTATTTTCAATGCAACGCCAAACGTTATTGAAAACTTCTTTATAAAGCCAAAAAAATAATACCGTGAGAAAAAGTCACAAACATAAAGGAAATAATAACCCAAAATCTATAAATCAGTACTTTGAAAAGAATTAAAAGTGTAATACTTTGCATGAATATAAGCAGTGCTAGGTCCGAAACGAACGTCACGGCCAGAACACGTCATACGCGTCATGCATTAACAGTAAGTTTTTTTCAAATCTTTTAACGGAGTTTGAATTAATTTGGAACACGCGACATTAAATGCTAGTATAACACAAAAGGAGTTCTGGGAAAAACGAAAACATGACCAAAAATCAATCCTTAAATAAAAACAGAAGTGTCTTACTCTATAACCTAAACCGAAGCAACGGATACCTACTATAAAACACAATAATAACATGTTATAAGCGAACAATATATTAATTATTGAATATACAAAGATATTCATTGTCAGCACAAAAAATGGGAAAAAATGGATAAATATTTTAAAGGCTAAAAAAATTAATGCATATGAAATAAATTTTGGAAAAAACCAAACACTTAACTCGGTTCAAATCCAAAAGAACGAAGGCCAGTTTATTTCCGCAGCAAAACCCATAAAACAAAACACCAGCGGCCCAAACAACCCAAAAATCAAAGCCCAATAACCCAACCCTTATCCTCGTTGAACAGGTCAATCCCACCCCAAACCCTCCTGAAAAGATCGGAAATGATCCGACACTCAGAGCTACTCCATCTCTAACGAACACATCGGAAAAGATACCCACTGCCCCATCGCATACCACCGTCAGAACTCGAAAATAACACCCCAGCCTGAAGAAAACAACGTCGGATCCTCAACCTCCGAACCTAACTCCACAGCATAGACCACTTCTCCACCATACAGAGACGGCACTCCGCCCTCGATCCCTAACGACGACGATTAGGAGAGGTCAAGAGCGCTGCGGCGAAGACCCCAAACGACACATGTTGTTACCAACGGGGATGGATCTACGACGTTAAGCAATAGGCTTCACAGGTAACTTTCCTCATCCCAAATCACACCAAAACTCAAACCCTACCCCTGAGCCTTTACATTCACGAACACAACACAACTCCTGAACACCAACCTTCTTTAACCACCAACAACACAAACATATATTTTTTACCCAAAAAACTTAACAAACCTCCCGATCTGTCATTTTTTCTTCTCATTCGGTTGTCAAAGACAAACCCCAACTTGCAAATGGTTTTGAATTGAAAATATTGTATTTTGTAAGAATTAATAAAAACCGAAAAAATAAAGTCCAAAACACATCAAGGATTAAACACATAGATCTGCAAGATCCGAACTTCTGTCTATTTTTCCACCATGATTTAAACATTAACCCAAAATTTTACCCAATATTTTTGCGGAAACATTAATCAAGCATTTTTTAACAAACATAGTAATTTTTTTTCATCATACCGGTTTTTCCAGATTAATTTTCGCATGTATCCCACTTAAAGCTTATTAATTAGCTTTGATAAAATATTAAAATTTTAATAATAATCTCCAAAAACATATTTCTAAATTTTTTATTTTTTTTTCCTTTTCGCTATTAATTCATATAATATAATTTCATATCATTTTTTCATGGTGACAACCCCGGTACCCTTTTAAAAAATGGGGTACCGTACCTATCATTCATTTGATTGGACCACATCACTTTATCATTTTTAATTTAGATTTAAATAATTCAACTTTAACATTCTCATTGGTCCATGTGGACAAAGGTATGATATCTTTCGGTACCATAGAATCTACCTTTTTTCAAATCACTGATAATTTAGTTTTTAGATATTTATTTAATCAGAGCCTTTTTTTTTAGGAAAATTCGGAAATGTCTAGGTTTTTTATAAAAGACCCTGTCAATTTTATAAGGCACAAAAAAATACTAAAACAAAAATCTTAACAGAAGAATCTAGACACAATTGAAACGTACAAACCAAATAATGAGCAACACTGCGTAACTACAGACCGTGGGCGTGGGCCCACCCACGTTCTATTTTCAAAATTCAAAACACCCACCCTATACACATCATTTAATTCCAACAACCCACCACCCGTTACTACCATTTAATATTCTTGAACCACTCAAACACCACCCACTCCTCAAGTCTTTAACACATCGGACCCTCCCACTCCCAACCGCCCAACTTAAATGCTTCGATTAAATCGACCGGTCACAAATTCTCTTTCTTTATAAAAAATCACAACTTCAAATTCAATCGTTTAAAACCCCAACCTACAACAATAATCACAACTTATAAATTCAATGTATTTTATGATACCATGATATTATTTGTTTATGATACAGAGTCAGTTGTATTAAAGATTTTTAATATCAAGTGTATTTATTTTAAAAAAATATTTTATTTTTTAGAACCGTAATTATTTTAATGGTTTTGAAATTTTTTTATAATTTTTTATTCAACCCTTTTAAATCAAAGAAGTCCAAAATTGCCAAATGATGGTGTGCATTTATAAGATAAACCTTACCAAATCATTTACAATGTGTTACATAGTAGGCAGAATTTATTATGTATTATAATAATATGATGCTATCAATAGCTCTGAAAGGGCACAAAAGCTTGTATTATCATTAATTAAAAACATTATAAGAACTGCCAAGGTTAAACGAATTGCCTTAGACATGCCAGCCAATCAGGGGGTGGTATGTGGTGGAGTTTTATTTGGATAGTTTATTGTGTATCCATCTTACGAACTGTCACGGTAAAGCGAATTGCCTTGGACATGCCAGCCAATCAGGGGGGTGGTATGTGGTGGAGTTTTATCTAAATAGTTTATTGTGTATCCATCTTACGAACTGCCACGGTAAAACGAATTGCCTTGGACATGCCAGCCAATCGCGGGGTGGTATGTGGTGGAGTTTTATCTGGATAGTTTATTGTGTACAGGGTTGTTAACATTTTTTCCTAATATTAGTAAGAAAAATTCTCCCACCAAATTGCTTAAAATCAAAAAAAGGTTCAATTTAAGCATTTCAGATTGCTGCCAAATTTTTATACATGTTTTACCTTGGGCTATTCACCCCAAGTCTGTGTTACTCATAAATCTCTTCCATAAAAAGATTGGCATTGCAGATGACTTATAACAAAGGTTTACATGTAAAATTTGTAGGGATCTTCAAGATCATTAATGTTTGGTTCTGAACACTGCCTACGACATGCCAACCCCCTCCCCCCTTTTATTTTTTTAATTTAAGCATTAAATTGTTGTAATATTATGAAGAATACACACTACATGCACCCCCCTCCTATTTTTTTAATTTAATGTTGTAAATGTTGTAATAATTAGATATGTGGTCTCTATGATTTAGGGCACCGGAGTCTACCTTGGAACAGGCTACCGGTATGTTTCCCTACGCACAACTTCAACTTATATTTCGTTCTATAACTTTACCTGAAATTAAGTGGCAATCCACGTCTGGTCTACAAATTGTTTTCAAATCACACACTTACATGGATCCACAAAACTTTTCTATAAGAACAGGAAATTGTTTTATAATCACATATTTACAAAATCACATTGAAGTATAACTCTTATGTCTGGTATAGAAGTTTGTAAGCACAACTTAAACTATCGACGTTAGAGGTATAATAATCCAATGCACATTTTCCAAACGAAAGAGATGCACAAAAATTGTTTTGATCATATTTCAATAGATCAACCCCAAAAAAAACTTTTTATTCAGTTACTGCAATTTTACAATAGTGAACAATGAACTGATCTGGGATGTGTGCGTGAATCTTGGACCCCTGAAGTTCAAAAAGATTTTGCATCAAAGTTTTTATAAAAGATGTGGACAAACATAATATGCATGTAAATCATAGAAACTGAATCCCCTCATCATGAAAGACGACCTCCAAAGACTCAGGGAAGCAGTCATGAGCCGGCTCTCACTAAACCCGTATCGCCCTTGCCTTGATTGCCCAAGTCGTTTTGCTTTGGTCTATCTCTCTGAATAGAGACCACATGTGAACCATTTTCCAGAAAAGTTTGTTGTGTTTTTAGCTACCTTGCTACGTATGAATGTGGTGCTGTAACACTGAGTATGGCTGCTTTTATAACAGGAAAATCGGTCTGCCTAATCCTTCCCAAAGAGTGTACAATGGTCTTTAACCAATCAGAATTGT